AAAATTAATAATTACAATAACCAAATAATATATAGTCTATGTTTATAGAGGTGGTGAAGGTATTACTTTGTGGGCAGACGGAAAGGTAACTAAAAGTTTGTTCATTTTCATCAACAATCGCCTTTGGTGGCTGAAGTCAATAAATAATGCTTTCCTCTACTATATCAATTATAAAGTAACAAGCCAGACAGTTTTGCTAACGAAACTTTACTTACTAACGACTGGTTTCAATTTATTTTTTTAGCCCAGAAAATACAATTGCGCAATTGAGTTTATAGTAGACAAATTATTATGAGTAAAAAAGGTCGAAAACATAATTCATTGGATATAACTTAAGCACCAAATTCCAAATTTACTTTTCTGCTACATTAAAGAAAAGATTTGGAACCTTTTTTTTTTTTAACTCATATTAGACTTAGGCTTCGACTTACTCACCTCTAACAGAATTGATAAATGAGTATAAACCAACACGTTATGAAGGTGAGATTATGTATTTACTTTCCACTAAGATTATCAACTTAATAATTCGCTAGTTCTATGGAGAAGGTAGAGAAGTTTTCATACATTTATTACTGCCTTCGAATGCAAATAAAAAGATGTTATAATGATAGTTCATCTCAAAACCTCAAACTGAGGAAATTAAAAAAAATTGGATTGCAAAACTAGCGGAAATGAATTTCGTTTACTAAAAGAACAGTCAACAAATAATCCGATTAGAACCAACGAAAGTTATTTAAATATCTTCAATTTTTAGTTAAACATAGGGCCCGCTCTATTCTTACGTCGGATTCTCATTTATTATATAGTGTACTATGATGAATCGTTTTGTAAAGGCTACGTATCAAAATAAAGCATTTATTATTATTTTAAGATTATTAAATATAGTAATATATTAACTGTACTGCTTAGTAGCGCACAATAGTACACTAATAGTGGCTTATACAGCCTTCAAATGCACTGTCGTTAATTAGCTTTGAGTATACTTAGGACTTCATGAATTTCAATTCAATAAGAACACCTAAAGGTATGTATGTTTTAAGAGTCAAGTAATAAAATTAAGTAATGAACCTATTAGACAAAATAGCTTACTATAACGTCTAAAATTTCAAAAGTTCAAATCCTAAAAACTTTTGTTTTGGTTTACAATAATCAATATTGGATATGTTTTGTTCCGAATCATCTAATATTTAATCCTTTTGAACAAATGGAGTTATCATTTCTCTAAATATTATATTATAATAAAAGAAATTATATGCATAATGCAATCTTCGAAGTATATTAAGTTTTCAAGAAGTAATGTCTGTCAAGACAATAGGTTTTCCAAGTGAACTTACTACATTCTGCTCAGTGTTAGCCTAGATATCAAAATTTCTTTACCTTGAAAAAATTTCTCCACTCTAATGGGTCTCCGCTACTTTTTATGAAATTCACTAATTCCAAATTATGACCGAGTGTTTTCAATTCTATTTCACCCTGTAACAAACATTTTCTTTTATCATGAAGCTTAACATATAGCGTACTTTGCCCACTTGTATGCTTTGTTGTCAAAGAAACCGCTAACAAACGTAGAGTATCATAAAGTCGATCGATTATATACTGTTTTGAAGCCTTCGAGTAAAACCTTGTTAAACGTTCCGGAGGACAAATTTCATAAAAGTTTTTAGCTTTTCCAGCCTATTTGAGTTAGAAAAATCTACGATGATTTAACTTACAAGTCGTTCAATAAAACCGTTCGTATTGCTGAACTGACTCAGCGAAGGATCCTTCTCCATAAGTTCCGTGACATCAACCTCTTCATTCACCTGAACTGGCTGAGACAGATAACCATATATAGCAGTATGGTTATGTATGTCAGACTCTGACACTTTTGTTGTAGGTTGTGTCATAGAGATATTCCCATACCTGTAAAAGTCAGCAGTTATTTATACATGATCATAACGCACGTCGAAGTATCTGTCAAAGATGAACGGGGCTTATCTAAATCAATGTGCAGCTTTAACATTAGCCTTGAAGCGAGAGCAACAGGATCAGAACAATTTCCATTATCAGTACGGAAGGAAGTATTAGAAGTAAGCCATGGATGCTGTAAGATACGCCTTATAGAGAACCTCTTTGATGGGTCACTGCGTAACATTCCAGTGATAATAGCTATCATGTTAGTGGATGCTCCAATATTTAAAAGACATACAATATGCGCCCGGTGACAAACGATTCCACGGATAAGAAGACGGCCGTTCACCTTGTTTCCTGTAAATTAAGTAATCTCCTGTATTACTAATAGCTTCATCCCATGGAGTATTACCAGACAAAAGAGCGAAGAGTATTATTCCACAAGACCATATATCGACCTTTGCACCATCATATTGCCCTGTAATCTCTGGTGCAGCGTATGGTGGGCTTCCAACTGGACTATTTAAAAGTCTAGTTTTACCTTTGTAAGCGTAGAGAGATGCAAAACCAAAATCCGATAATTTTAAGTTGCCATTATAATCCAGCAAAATATTTTCAGGTTTTAAGTCTCTATGAGCAACACCTTTTGAGTGCATAAAAGATATTCCTTCCATTAGCTGAGCAAAATAAAACTGCGCGACATCTTCATCAATCCCTACCTCGGGCTCTGTATTCGCATTAGTAGAACTGAACTGTTATTTGGTCATTTCAAATATTATTACCAATTTTGTCAAATAAGTCTCCGCCTTGGGCAAATTCAAGAGTAACCCAACGCCAATGTGAGTTCTCTGCCGTGTCATAGAAGTGAATTATATTTTTGTGACCATTACACAGACGATGTAGTTGGACTTCACTAGCCATTCTACGTGCCCAAACATTGGAACCCATGCATTTTGTTGCAAATTTTTTATTTATAAACTTTACGGCGTAGATTTTTGCGTTGTCATCATAACAAATACGAACACTATAAAGCGATTAGCTGTTATTGAATCTATGAAACATACGATGCAAAAGCGCCAGTTCCAATTTCTTTTCCAATATGGTACGGAAACTTTTCTATGATCTTTGTCATTTCTATCCTTTAATTAATTCCTTAGGTTATTTTACTTTCCTAGGAGCGGTAGAATGTTTTAGTTATACGAGATTCCTTAATTTCCGTGTGAGAAACAAAATCAGTAACTTAACATTGTTTTCTTATTTTTAGCAAAAAAACATAAGAAAACTTTGTTAGTGAAGTTATTTGTTGTCTACTATATAGTCGATGTATTGTTTATTGTTGTTATTTAACCTTTACCAGGACTAGCGCACATCCACTAAAGTCAACTTCCAACAAGGATTATGGATTCAGAAATGCAAAATCAGAGCCCTAGCATGGCTTCAAATACAAAAAATACTTCTTCTTCAAATATGTCTACAGACGGACATAGCGTTACAAAAAGGTGAGCTTTATATCCTTGATTTGATGAAATGGTCGTACTAACTTTTGGAAATAGGCTACGAAGTGAATTAATGAGTCTAATGGTATGAAATGCGATTTGTTCAAACCATATAATTCTAACCAAACAATAAAGATGTCGAATACCCCGGGGATTAGTGCTTTTCCCGACTCTGATTCAAATCTTCTACATTGGGCAGGCACTATTACAGGTCCGGTTGATACTGTATGTGAATGGTTTACTTAAGTTATCTGACTATGCCTAGCTAATTTATCTTTTAGTACTACGAAGAATTAAAATTCAAGATATCTATGACCTTTCCCCCCAACTATCCTTACTCAGCCCCAACGATCGTTTTTACTTCTCCTATGTGGCATCCTAATGTTGACATGAGTGGAAACATTTGTTTAGATATTTTGAAGGACAAGTGGTCTGCTGTCTACAACGTACAAACTATCTTACTATCCCTTCAAAGCCTTCTAGGTGAACCTAACAATGCTTCACCTTTAAATGCTCAGTATGTTTCATTTTACTACCTTGCATAAATGCTAATTTATCATTAGAGCCGCTGAACTATGGAGTAAGGATCCTGTTGAGTATAAACGCCTTTTAATGCAACGCTACAAGGAAATTGACGAGATATAACTTCTATAAATGAGGATTAAATGAGTTTTATCCACTGCTTCAAGTTTTACATACGGTATACTTTTGGTGAAATCCCCTGTTCATTATACTAAACTTGGATCCTCTTTCAAAACATTTCGGATTCTTTTGAGGGTAAAACTGAGCTTTTCGTTAATCTACGTTGCTTTATAATGATTTTAAATCTTAAAAAGCCTTTAGCAATATTTATAGCTCATACTTATTGTCCTCCGAACCTTCTGATTCCTCGTATTTTCGTTGGCTGTTTGTTAAAATACGAGATATCTTGATCTATTTGTTATCAAACAGAATACTTATACTCAATAGTGCTATTAGATGGTGAGAATTTCATAGTATGCCTTGCTATATTATTACTAAAAAGAAATTTGTAAGTCTAATACTTATGGATTGTAAGTTAGTACTGTAAAACCTCAATTTACCGCTATATAGTTTCGAAAACTTGTACGCACATTAGAAGAAACCCAAACATACAAACGGTAATTTATTTTATATTCTTATAATATACCAAAACATCGTAAAAGTTTGTTATTTTTGCTAGCTACATTGTCAAACTTGTATTACTCCCTTCATTCATCTATTTATTACCTCCGGGCTACTTACGTACCAGGAAACAACCGCCATGACAAAAACGTTAGGAAACTCAAAGAAAACGCTAGATTCCTATAATGAATTGCCTGAATATATTCATGGAACAAATTACGGTGAAAAATTGCTGACTAAAGAACCTCAATGGCTACAATGGGAACAATACTTGAAAGATACCGAATCATCAAGTACTGAATATACAGGCAGTAATGTCAATCCTTTACCTCAAACGTGGAGCACAAGAGAAAAATCCGATTTTATAGAGGTCATGCAAAGCAACTTGGAGGCTTCTTTTTTTGGTAAGTTAAATGTTAGTAGAACACTTGCTAATTTTGCATTATAAAGGCCCGGATAGCGGAAGCGAACATGATGCGGCTTTAATACGATCAGATTTTCCTATACCAAATAACTGTTCAGTCTACTATTTTGAAATCCAAGTATTGTCATGTGGTAAAGAAGGTAGAATATGTGTTGGTTTTTGTAAAAAGAATACACAAACAGGACGTTTACCAGGAAACACATCAGAAAGTTGGGGTTATCATGGACACAATGGTGAAATTTACCATGGATCGAAAACCGGAGAACGATATGGACCTCAATTTCAAACTGGTGATGTTGTGGGATGTGGTGTGAACCTTATCAACAAAACAATATTCTACACAAAAAATGGAGCATATTTAGGGGTAGCCTTCACGAACGTGAGCGATTCTTTGTACCCGACGATAGGACTAAAAAGCCAAGGTGAACACATCAGGGCAAATTTTGGTCAAACAGCATTTCTTTATGAGATAGACCACGCCGTTCAAGAAGAGAAAGAAAAATTGTTGAGCGATTCTCTGAATATAGCTTCAGTTGATGAGCAAAATGAACGAAAAAATTTCCTTAAAGACCTTATCTCTTCCTTCCTCATTAATCATGGCTATGTAGAAACGGCACAAGAGTTCTGTCCCGAAAAGGTACTGCACTCAGATGTACAAATCCGAAAAAGTATGTTTATGCCCTTTACACATCCTTACTAACCTTTTTAGGGATCAATCAATTGTTGTGTAATGGGGACTTGGCCTCTGCGGTACAGGAAATTACTTTACAATATCCCCAAGCAATTCAAGATTGCCAAGACCTATCCCTTTCTCTCCGATTTTTGCAATTTCTTCAATTAATGCGAAATATGCAACAAATTCGCTCGTACTCAGCGTCTTTCTCCGGCGTAATCTCAGAACAAGAAGAGATGAAAATTTTGGACCCAGTCATGAGTTATTCCCAACAATTTTTTGATGAGTATGAAAAAGCTGAAAGTCATGATCTAAAAAAAATGATCAAGTTAAGTATGGGACTTCTCGCTTACTATAATCCATCTTCGAGTCCTTTATCTTTCTTTTTGGAAAATGACTTCCAGAAGTATATAGCCAGTCGTATCAACGAATTGCTTCTAAGTACGTTTTGTCTTTTTTACTGTATTTTGCTTACTAACTATATAAAGGGTTCAGCGGTTATCAACCTGAAAGCCAATTGGAGCAATTTTTGCAACATACGATTGCTCTTAATGATTTGCTTTGTCAACACAAATGTTTACCAAACACTCTTATTAATGTTCAAAAAGACTTCATTTTGCCATGAACTGGCTAGAAATGAGTTACGATGATAATGTTCTATGAGTTATTGAATTATAATGCTTTTTTTTATTAACACTGTATTCTTACTTCCTCAATAACAACGCATTAACTAAATAAATAGAATAGCTATGAATTGGTAATTGATCTGTATATTGGGAATACAGAGCTAGTATTTTGCATTGACTGTTGAACCTAACGGCACAAGTGTGATGTTGTTACCCGGCAACAAGACTTCATTCATACCGACTTTTGACAACAACAAACAGCTTTAAATTAAGAGAAAAGTTTCTGGAGCCTTTTATTGGTAAAAGGTCCAGAATGATTAATCAATGAATTTATTGAAGCATGTTTTTCCTGAAAATAACTACGAAGCTTATGAAGGAATACTACCACCAACTGTTTTCTTTCGTTTGACGAAGCAAGAAGAAATTATCATTGGGTCGTCTTGTGAAATTAAATATAATGATTTGCTAATTTTTGGAAGCATCTACATAAGTACCTCTTTCCTTTGCTTCCATAGTTTGGATTTAAAGACTCGATTTACGTTTCCTCTGTCGACTATAAGACAAGTAGAAAGAACAGCTTCAGACACCAACGTGTTTGTTTTTGATTTAATAACCGTTCACAATCAAACTATTCATCTTACTATAAACGGTACACGTCAACAATCCGAACTCTTTTGTGATCGCTTAATACGACAATTACGATTGACTTCGCATGAGGCTGGTGATGTTACAGAATTCTTACATGCTTTGGCATCGGAAAAGCTTCTGCATTCAGGGTTATCCATAAAAAATAATAATGAGAATCAAGCAACTTCAGATCATGGATATAATTCTACAGGCTTGGGAATGCAATTTGGCTTTCCCTCTAAACTAATAGACCCAGAATTTAATTCAGAAAGGGCAGAAAAGGAAGAAATAGATCAGTGGAAAAAGTATTTTCTTGAAAACGGAGCCAATTTTAATTTTGTACAAACTCCTTCCTTCATTAAGCTAATTCAAAACGGTATTCCGGACAATTTGAGGGCGGACATATGGGAAACATGTTCTGGAAGCTTATATTGGCGGTGGAAATCGAAGGGTTTTTATTACAATAATGTACATAAAGTACTTGCAGAAACTTGTGAGTATAGCGATGAGATTGAGAGAGATTTATCAAGAAGCTTACCGTCTTATCCTGCTTATCAATCAAGTACAGGGATAGATGCTCTGAGGAAAGTATTGAGATTTTATTCTGGAGTAAACAGTGACATGGGCTACTGTCAGGCTATAAATATCGTTGTTGCAGCCTTACTGGTTTACTGTACCGAAGAACAGGCTTATTTCTTGTTCTCTCAGCTCTCTGAGCTGTACATTCCTGGATACTATGGTAAATTGATTCACGGTCTTTTACTTGATCTGACTGTCTTTGAGTACGTCTTACAACAAGCTCTTCCTCATCTTTATCAAAAAATATCTGAAATGAAGATGGACTTGAAACTTATTACAATAAACTGGTTTTTTTCACTTTTTATCAAGGATTTACGATTGGATTATGCAATGCGAATCCTCGATTATTTCATAACGAACGGACCTTGCGTTTTATTTCAAACAGCTCTTGCTCTGTTTAAGATTAATGCTCAGGGAATTCTAAATGCCGCTGATGATGCATCAATTATGAAAGTTTTTCAAGATTGCTTTGCTAATATTAACTCCGAATATTTAACGACAGAAATTGGAAGTACTAATAGCAAACCAATCTCATGTACATTTTCACAGCTTCAGGCCATTGCTTTTGAATATTTTGACTTTATTACCAATAGTTATATATTAGCAAAAAGAACAGAATTTCGAGAAACGGTTCTCACTTCTTTAAAACTTTTTACTAAACGCTCGCATCTTCGTGGTCTATATCAACAAACGAATTTATCAAACACAGACTTGGAGTATCTTTACGATGCTTTTATCGATGGTATCGGTGAAGATCATCTATGTCATGGTCGCATATTGGAACAGAAAATTGATTACAATGGCTTTGAAAAGCTTATAAAAAAGTCGATTCCACGGCAAATTTTCTTCAAAAAGGCCATCCATTATCAAAGAAGTGAACGAAAGCTATTTAAAAGATTATATAACTGGTTGAATAAAAGTTTGGATCTTAGCGTTCCGTTAAACTTTGAAAAGCTTGTTATTGGTATTGAAACAATGAATATGTTAGCCGAAGAGGCTCCAGAAGTATTCAGCTTTCAATTATATGATCTAAATGAAGGAAAGGAACTACAGACGGATCAAATTGTTGAATTATCAGAATCCTTAATTCTTATTTGCTGTTATGAAGGGAATCATGAAGATGATGAAAGGCTAACAGTAATAAGTGATTTTTTGCGCTCTTGCTTTAATAAACATAGACAAAATCAAAAGGAGTTTCGGATATCTCTAGAGCAATTTCAGTATATTGCTGCAAACACTATGCTACTACCAATACTCAGGTTTTTTATAAAGAAACTAGTCAAAGGAATGCTTACGAAAGAAAACGCACCATAATAAATGTGCGTTTACGAAAAGATATGCCATTATTGATAAAAAGGATGTTTTTCTGCACTTCGATTTATTGTTATCTTATGGCATAGTTTGAACCCTACAGTATTTAGGCTTTGTTATTAATAATATAATTTGCATTATCGATGTATCCAGCCGTTTACATTTAATATTGAATTTATAGGCCATTTTCTGATGGGTTCTACTTCAAGCGAGGATTTGAATCCTTCTTCAAACATTCGTATTCCCGTATAAGCAACCATAGCAGCATTGTCACTACAAAGTTCCAAAGAAGGGTAAACAAGTTTTGTTTCAGGAATTAGGCCTCTACTATGAAGTGAAATAAGCAATTCTTCCAGCATTTTCTTCAGAACGGAGTTTCTAGCAACGCCTCCACTACAAACTAGAAAACGCACATCCGATAGATCAGTAGACTCAATGGCTTTAGTAATCTTCTGGCAAATATGCTTAAAGGCAGCTTCCTGAAGCTTATAAGCCAAGATCTTTTTTTCTGAAAAACTCCATGACTTTGAGGTAATAAGTCTTCGAGCATAAGATTCTAATCCCGAGAAAGAAAAATTAGGATTATGTGCCTTTTCACCAGTGCTCATGGGGTTCGGTGGATTACAATCTACATTCAAATCATCGAGAGTGGGAGCAGCAAATTTTTCAAGAGCTGCAGCTGGCATTTGATTATTCCAAGGAATTTCTAAATATTTGGCACATTTATCCAGGTAATCACCAACAGCTATGTCAGTTGTCGATGCCAAGATTTCATGAGCAACAACCGATCTGGATAAAATTAATATAGTATGGCCCCCAGATACTAGAATTGAAAGAAACGGAAATGGGATTTGAGACTCCAACTGCACTGTTAACGCATGTGCTTGCTAATGATAATAATGAATTAGCATCTTCTTGAGAAGCGTTTAATTAAATCATACCATGTGATGTATCGCTAAAAGGGGCTTATTAAGGCCAACAGCTAAACCCTTGGCAAAATTCAAGCCAATAGCTAAAGGACCTAGCATTCCAGGACCACGGGTTACAGTTATAAGATCATAGTTAGAAACACCTAACGATTGAGACTGTTTTATAGTTTCGTAAACAACTCTTGCCAGGTTCTTTTGATGTTCTTGTATAACAATTGATGGATGTATTCCCCCATACATTTCATATTTTGAAAGTGTTCGATGAGTATTGAGACAAACAATGTTTGGTAAGGACTCGCTCGAAGTTTTCTGGACACTGTTTCCGTTAGCGGCAATTTCACCTGGGCTCACAGAATAGTTGCTTACACGGCCACAGAAGTATCATCACAAGATGTCTCGATTGCTAGAGATGTAATCTTCCGACATGAGGGTATCACTCTCGTACAGTTGAATCCATAATGTAACTGATTGCTAAGTCTGTACAATCGATGCATTACCAAAAAGAACGGAAGTTATACCATTTACTTTAGAAACTATTTAAGTAACATGAATTTTGGTTTACTGTGAACCTTTCAAAAAGTTTCATGAACTTGTAGAAAATAAAATTCAATGTAATTCAACTGGTATTGTGACAATATGCAAAGTCTGCTGTCATTAATTCATACTCTTCTATCTCACTATTGCGAACCCGCCCTTACCACTGTATAAAATTCCATATATGAGACAGAAATTCGATTATCCGTTAAATCTTATGTTTATAGGCGATTTATCTTCGGTTTAGTACTAATATTCCTAATTACCAAACTTATGCAAACCCAAAAACTAATTAGGTAATAAATGTAGAATATCTAAAAATAAATCCCCATATGAAGCGAAAAATGGTATACATATTGTTAAATAAGCATATGCGTACATTATAGTATTTTACAAAATATGCTTTAAAGCTGAATGCTAACTCAAATTTCATGCCAAAAACTCAAAAATATAAATAACAGGGAGTAAGGTAACATACTAAACAATATGCTTAATTATTGGGCATGTGGTGTAGATGGTTATCACGCTTCCTTAGCATGGAAGAGGTCCCAGATTCGAGTTCTGGCTTGTCCATTTCATTTTTAAAAGTTTTGCCGTTTTCTTGCAAGAAAAATCATATTCAGAAACATAAACCATTATTCAAACATTGCCAGAGTTTTGTTTTTAACGAAATAAGTGGTCGCTTAATTAAAATTTACATTAGCCGATATTTCAAAGAAACTACTAACTGACCATGGTCTTCACCTAAAATTCTTGACTTGACTTGATCAACCCAACTTGCAACTAGCAAGCCTCAGCCTTAACAAAATTTAAAGGGGTCGCTTGTTACGTGAATTAAACCTGATTTTGAAAGCAATATAATGCTAAGACGAAGTGTTTTTCAATTGCCTAAAAGGCAGGTCTTGTGGCAGTGTAGACATGGAAAATGTATGATCGAGAATGACTGGGACAATGAATTCGCTTACTTACTCAACTATAGTTTTCCATAATACAGCTTTCTCAAATGCTATTAGCAACTTATGCATGCCTGCATTGTCACCTACAATGGAAGAAGGAAATATTGCAAAATGGAGTCTGAAAGAAGGTATGGGATACAAGTGAAACATAAGATGAGTTAATACTTACAATGATTAGGGGATTCGTATAAGGCTGGTGATGTGATATTAGAGGTAGAAACTGGTATGTATAGTTTCTTGACAATGGCTAATACTCATTTTTACGTATAGACAAGGCTACAATGGACGTTGAGGCACAAGACGATGGTGTCTTAGCAAAAATTATTATTAATTCCGGTACCAAAATTCCCGTAGGTAAAGAAATAGCCATTATCGCTGAAGAAGGAGATGATTTATCTAAAATTAATCTTCCTGATGCTTCGAGTACTACTGAAAAGTCCGAAAACTTGAAGACACCAACGGAGCCCAGTTCTTTGCAAACATCTAGTCATGCTGATTCATCTTCCTCCCAAAGCACCCCTTTGCTCCCTTCAGTTGCGTACTTGTTGCATTTACACAAGATCCAGGATCCTTCAGTTATCCCTGCTACGGGTCCTCGTGGTCGATTACTTAAAGGTGATGTTTTATCTTTTATTGGTGAAATCAAAAAGGATGCACCAGGCTCCGTACAGAAAGCTATACAAAAGCTTGAAAAGCTTGATTTTTCTAAAGTTGAGGCTAAACCTGTGAAAGGTCAGCTTGTAGCTTCTCCTACAACTACTGAGAAACCATCAGAGGCTATTCCTGAAAAACCTCGTCTCAATGTCGTCGAGACTAGTCTTTCTTTGGTCAATTTAATCAATATGACTAATGCAACGAAAGAAAAGAATGGTAAGTTATACAATGATTTAGTTCGAGACTTCTCACCTTTTTAGAAAAACTTCCAGAAAAGATAACAAATATCGTATCGTCAGCCGTTTCTGATTCTTTGGCTTCATCCGAAATTCTAGACTTATTTCAAGATCCTGTAGAGAATGCCTATGATGCTTTATTAGGATTGTCTTCGTCAAGAGCAAGTGTTTTGCCGAAAACTCAGCTTATTTCTGGAAAAGGACCAGTTGAAAATGTCGTCGATTTTCTTTGCCATTCTTCTATAATGTACGTGAACATTAATGTTTGTAGAAAGACTGCTAATCGTTTTAGTTTACCCGGTCAGTTATCTGGCAGTGCAGTGTTATCATTCGCTCATCCAAATCCTCCATTAAACGGAAAGACAACGCTTGATGATGCTTATGATTGTCTCTTGGGATCTGTTCGGGAACACACATTGCCTAGCCCTTCACAGTTGAAAAATGAAGAGATCGTATTGAAATTGTCGTACAGTACTCGCATTAACAGTGACCGCGCAGCTTCATTTATGAACAAATTAAAAAGGAATCTGGAGGTAGCTTCCCTTAATTAATAATTAGAGGCCATTGAGATCTCTAACGGAATTAATCGAAGATAGCAAACTACATCTTTCCTTACACTAGCTATAGTTTTCTTATTGACTTACAATAACAACAATTATACAAAAAATAATAACCAGACTCTATTAACAACAGTGATGATTAGAACATAACGAGTGATTCGATAACGGAATGAAACAGAAATTTACATCGAACACATATACAATGTTGTAGACGCATTTTCCAGTTTTCTTTTTATTAATATACAGCAATAGGTAGAGCCGTCGCAACTCATGAAGCCATCGATGGCCTTCGATTTATATTAACAGGGGGAGATCTGCTATTTTTTGACATTCCTGATGAAGATTTCTTTTCTAAATTGTTACTGCTGTGCTTAGGATTCCATTTAGCCTTAGCAGATGATCGTTGTGCTCTGGTTGATTTCTCTTCCACAGATTCATCGTCGGAATCAGAATCTGGAAAGGTAGGATCAATGTCCTGAGGAACCATTAGAAAATGCTTAGGGGAGTGGTTAGCTAAGGAGGAAGCAAATGCTAGACAGGCGGGTTGATCCTCATCAAAAGTACCCGGCACAAAATCAGTATCATCTGGGATTAAATTTTCAGATGGAGGAGCAGCAGTCTGTATCGGGGTTGAAGGAAACTGTAAAGGTGATCGGCCCTCTTCGATATCATCGGATAAAGAAGAATCAGAAACTGCCCCGTCATTTTCATCGTTACTATCGCTATTAGCCTCTTCATCGGACGATTCATCGTCATCATCATCTTCTTCGAAAGAAGAAACGTTTAGCTTTTTTGCGGGCGGTTTAGGAGATCTAATAGGTCGATACATTTTACCTTTACCTATATTGCTAGCATCTTTTTGAAATTTCACAGGATAAGCAAACTCGCTGTCATCCTCTTCTTCATCAGAAGACTCTAACTTTAAGTCATTATCCTTTTTCAACACATCTTCCAATACATCGCGACAAGTAGTTGCAATTTGCTTGGAAGCGGCAGCATGGGACGTCGACGTATTTTGATTGCTTCCATTTGTTAAATTTCCTAAAGCAAAACTAATTTTAGGGGGCTGCTTAGCATACTGTTGTTCTCTGTTCAAATGTCCTAAGGGTTTACGTAGTAAGTTGGAATTTTCACCTTTTGATTTACCATCGCAAACGTTAGATTCTTGAGGACGGTTAAGCAGCTGATTTTTACTAATATCAGGAGGTGGAGATTTCCCATATCGGCAAGGCTTCCTAGGTTTTCCTTCACCAACTCGACTTGGTAAGACGGCGAATTTAACGCGTCCTTCATATGGAGAGCTTTCAGAAGATTGCTCATGAGAACGCTCTATACAAAATTGTACTGAGTGATGTTCTGATGTAGAAACTTTAGATTCGGCAAAGTTAGAAGGTTTGCAATGCAATAAGATGCTTAGTAACCCTGTCATCGCGAAAAGTATGCAAGAAAGGTACAGATAGAGTAGTAAGTCAACGAAAAAGAAAAATTAATATGCAAGACTGAAGTACTTGATTTTTATACTTTATTATTATAAAGTAAAAAAATAAAACCCAAAATTGAACTTTGCGTTAAGGGATTCCAATGAACAATTAAAAGCAGCTGAGACTGAGCGAGTTAGCAACTATAGAGTTATTTTTCAGGATAAAGAATCGATTATCCTTTTTTTGACAAATGAATAAACACGACCGGTCAAGGACAGGCACGTAGACAAAAAAACTGCGATTTTTACGGACTAGAAAAGGAGATACACACACACACACGCAGAGCGAATACAAGAAATCGGGTTATAAGGAAATTATAAGAAAAAGAAAGCGAGATACGTTATAAAGAAAACATGATGGCTTCTTTATTACGTTCACAGTTTAATATCCAGAGAAAAGTACGATTACTCAAAAGCGAGCGGTTAAATGCTGAGAGTTAATTCAGTGTCTCCTGTTCGGTCCGAATATTTCACTGATCCCTTCTAGCTATAAAAAAGTAGAAACTAGGCTGGTGAAATCACGTTTGCGGCGAACACAAACACTTTTCCAAATAAATCAGCTTTGAAACTTTTGAGCCGTTTATCGCCAAACTAGAAACCAAAATGGTCCCCAAAATGCAACGAATCGAAATCGCACAGTACAGACACAAGTAAAACTTGCTCTTTCCCTTTCCTCACAGTCCAATAAATTGGTAAAAGAAAACAAGTTTGCCCCGGCGATCTGAAGTCGTCCACCACGAAGTTAGGGTAGGGTTTCGTGAAAACAAATAAGTCGGGAATAGAAAAACAAAAGAGCAACGGATACAACCTTACTTCAAGAAGAGGGGAAACAACCAATTTATAGTTTTTGGCAAATTTACTTCTCCGTAGTGCTTACACCAGATTTACGCTTGAAAGTATCACGTGGAGTAATAGCGGGTCGGGGAAATCAGCTGCTTTTACGTTTTATCTGTTGGGTTTACATTGTTCATCAATTTGTTTGTTTTTCCCATAAGTTTCCGTTAAATGAAGCTGAACTGTTAAATCTCTAACTGTTTAAACTTTCCTTTTACCAAATATGGCACAAACAACGAATGGTAATATCGAACGTTTAGAGATTATATAGAAAGATTCACAAAAAAATAGAATGAATAAAAGTTGAAGTTTCTTATTAATAAATCGGGTTTTGAAATCAAGTCAGACTTTTATCATGCTTTCAAGTATAACAGAGCTTGTAACAATGTTCCTATATACCATGTATTTGCTATACTTGCTTTTAGTCATCTTGCACGTTGTTTCTTTCTAAAATACATGAACTTTTTTTCAAGGTAATCAGTACATTCTTGTATTAGATCTTGAAAACAGAGGAGCGTGATAGCTCAAGTCGTGCTTGTAATCGTTGTTCTAATGTCATATTATGCATAGCAGTTTCAAAAACCGTAGGTTCGGGAGATTTCCATTCGTGGTTTTTTACTTTTAAACTCACACCATCTTGTCGAGAAGTCCAGCTTCTGCTTTCAATTTGGTTTTTCCTGGTTCCTTTGTAACCTATTAAGGGTGGCAGAATAAATAAGTCTACAACAGCAATCTTCGTTAGGGGTTTGAAGAGAGAAAAATAACCGCAATGTGCCAAAATGGTAACTATATCCGAGTCATCTGTATATACATCTGTCCCCCATATTTCTCGTTTACTAAGACGCGGATTGATTGCAGCATTCAACCATTTAGCATCAATTTCTATTCGGATAAATTTGCCAATTGCATTGTACAGTAACGGCAACTCAAACCATGGAGTATAGACGAACTGAGCAACAGGTTCATTTCCAGACGATAAGCATGTCTCTAAAAAAGTATCGAGGGCAGAATTGTCGATATCAATTGGAGGGGATACAAATTGACGAACAGGAATCTGGGAATACGCATAAGATAATTTACTGACGCCATCGTAACTCTGAGGCGCTCCATACGCTGAGCTCGAATAGGGCCACGGCGTGGAACCTGGTATTACTGGTGAACCTGTCGGTGCACCTTGGTGAGAGGTAAAAGCTGCCGTTGGTTCTCCAGTACCACTGAATTGCTGTAAGCTTTTCTTTTCGTCTTCAGGCTTTCCTTGCTCTCCTTCTACTTTTGTCTTTTTTTCCGAATGACTACTGGACGTAGGGGAATTTATTGGTCGTTTCTCTGACGACGTCGGTGTTGAAGTTGCCATTGGCACTGCTTCTGTATGAGCAGACTCAATTTCACTTTGATGAGAAGTAATCGTCTCGGGACTTTTCGGGCTTTGGGGGTTTTCTAAAATAGACCCAATCGATAATACTGAGAATCCTACCTTCTCTGTTTTTGGTGTTCTTTGCATACTATTCTCATTGCTGGTTTCTTGATGTTGTTCTTTACTAGCACTTCAATTAGAATGTGTAGCCCCTAAGCTTCTTACCTGGCAGGTTGTGTCGACTGTTGATTTTCCATGAATATTGTATTTGTTTTCACATTCTGTTGTATTTACATGTTTCGACGCGAATCTTCTGCAGAATACCGAACTCGAAGACAGTGCAGCACAGCAGTAATGTCATAGACGACAGACAGTATTCTAAGAGTGAACGAACGGCAGAGTAAATAGCAAACATTATCTTAAAGTATTTAAGCATATATCATACTTTATATACATTCAGGTAATAATTCTCGAGCAAGGCACTTAGCGTTCTCAGAAAACCTTACCTAGCGCTACCAACTTCGTTTGATTGATGTATGAAAAGCAAGAAACCGTTAATCAGTTCTCGTATGCTAGCAGCTGCGGACAGCAACTCGTATATGGAACATAAAAGAAACATTCATTACAAAAAATATGCTAACGATAAAGTTAATGTTTTAGGATAAGCTTCATGGCAAATTTATCCAACAATGGAATGGTGTCTTCTCTTGAGACAAAACATGGCGAATCACAAGAGGAACAACCCAGTAGCTTCAAATACAAATGCATGAAACAGTACATGTGCGAGAAAGTAGAAAATGATAGCAACAAGGTGGTTTGCTTAACGGTACATCGGTTTTTTCGAAAGTATGTTAAAGAAAATCAACTTGTAAATCCGAGTCCTCTTCTTTGGAAAATTCTAACATAAAACACAGGATTCGCGGTCATCTAGAGGAAGTGCGATCATTGAATGGATAATTAGAACTAGAGGTTGATTAGGAGCATTTATCTTGGAGCATTCCATTTCTGTGATTCCCAATTTACAATGTGAAATGATTTGCTATCCAACTGCAAATCTTGGCATGCCTTCGTAAAAGCGGCTTGTCGAGGTGAATTCATAACCTGAGGTTGATTGGCATCTAAGATCTTTCGTAAAGCATTTTCAGCCAAACGGGATTCTTTCGTAGCAAGCTCCCGTATCCGTCTAGGAGACGTGGGTCTCACTGGGTACACGGGGCTAGCTAAATAAGTATGAGAAGCAGGAAAAGGCGGCAAATGACTTGCTACATAATTAGGACGGTTTTGAGAAACAGCCAAAGAACCCAGCAAGTGAGATATCATGCTAGAATCCAAAGATGATTTAAATCGATCCGGTATATCAGCCGACTTGTGAATTCTTTCTTCCAAATTTTTGATGAAGTCCTTAGATAAAGGCTTGTATACTGTTTGTAACTCTTTTCGAAGACCTGACACAGGTATATTGCTCAAGTTGAACCAATGTGCAACGTCTTCAGTAGTGGGTTCATTATGTTTTCCGATTTGTGTATGGATTGCTAATTCGTGAAATAAAGTCTTAAGATCTGAAGAACCAGTTAGCTATGTTAATGAATTGTGATTTTTCTCATACGTTTATCGATTGCATCCAAAAACATTCGTTCAGCAGCTTTCGTTATTCCGTCAAACCCATTCTGCTGTAGAATACTGTATAGAATAGCTTCCATGTTGTATAACTAAAAGATAAAGAGATACGTTTAATACGTCAAAATGTAACAACGATGAATGCAGATACTTAACACGAGTCTCGTTTTAGACCGAAGCACTCTATCCCTTAACAGAAAGAATACTTGATGAGGAAGCTCACTTTGCTGTCTCGTACTTTGATGTATGTCGCTTTCCTAGGTACGCGTCTTAAACTGATTTGGCTTTCCGTTACAATCTCATATATCGACAAAATAAATAAATTAAAAGAGAAAAAGATAAAGTGATTCTTCTTCACAAGAATGAAAAAGAAACAGGTTCATATATATTGAATTCGCGTTGAATGGGTCTCTCAATTCAGTTTTTGCAAATAGCAACCTTGAGCATAACTTTTTAAACTTTTTACCGTGCGCCACCGTGTTATGTCAAGTTGCACAGCAGCTTAATGTAGTAAACAAACATACTAAAGTTGAGTTGAATCATTCCATCGCGGGAAATTTTTGCTAGTTTATTCTATACAAGTCATTCTTTTGATTTTGAGATTATGTAGCCGTAAGAATCAAAAGAGCTAGAGAGTTCTCAAGGAAGGGAAGAATTAGAAAGCATATGGTGAAACAGTTTCTTGAAAAACCGATATAAATAGGATACCAAGACAAAATTTTCAAGGATTAAGCAATACCTGTTGCGTATTTGTTTTGTTTTCCATTGGGTATACGGAGATCCTTCGAGTTCACTATGTCTCCAACTGGCGGAGACAAATCGTATACCAGCTAAAAGGAAACTTACCAACTTCCCCCTTCTCTTTCAATTCAATTTCAAGCTTAGTTTTTGTGTTTTTTTTTTCACTATGGCTGTTGGACCTATTACTGGACTTTTCAAAAGGTATGTTTTGATCTTGTTTAGAACAAAAAAGCACGAACTTGTTGGTAAAATCGGGAATTCTAACGTTTGATGCAGACAAGTAATCATTGATTTCTCTACGATTCTTGGTTTAGGTACCGTTGGTGGCTTGGCCTGGTGGTATGGTTACCACAAGCCTGCATTTAAGCAGCGTGAGGAATTCTATAAGAAGCTTGCTGCTGAAAAGGCTTCCGAATAAGTCCGACCCCTGAACGTATTTGCAAGTGCGTAATTCAGCATTAAAGTTATCCATACTGGTCTTTTTTTCCTTTTTTTCAGTTATGAATTTGCTTTCCTTTTTTACTACTAATTGGCTTCATTTAAATTATCTCGTTAACCTTTTGTCGACGAAAAGCTTGTTCAATGAGAAAGGTGTTTAATTTTTTATTGATTTTGATTCTTGACTAGCAAGGATGGAGCAAGTAGACTGAAATGTATTTAAAGCACCCGTAGCCAAATAATGTATCCTGTACATAATAATGATCCCAATTTCATCCGAACTGTCTGAAACTGTCCATTTAAAAGAGATTTTGGTATTCTCCCTTTGGAGGAGGAATGGATGGAGACGATGTTAAATAGGTTTCTGTACGTAAAATGAAGATGAAAGGTTAGAAAGTCCAAAGTTTTTACTGCAGAGAAAAGAGATATAAGAATAAGAGTAATAATGATAATGATAATGATAATGTACGGCGACGAAGATTTCGACCGAAGCTCCCCATGGACTTATACTCCTTTTATTACCATAATAAAAAACGACACATAGAGAGGGTGGATAAAAGTACGCAGTCTCTTGACTAATTCTTCTGAAAATACATATAAACTTATGCCTACACACCCGTGTTCTAATCATAAATAATAGTATGCGGAAAGAAATGTCGAACAGATAAATGTATGCAATATAAAAGAAAATGATTGCAGAAAGTCGTCATATCAACCTTAAGCTTCATAAGATGATCTTTTCCTAGAACGACGCTCTGAGGGCGAGTCTGTAGCTCTTTTCCGCTTTTGTTTCCATAAAGAGCTAGGATTAATGGGCGAAGAGGTTGATGCAGGAGAAGATTGGTTAGGTAAATTTAAGCTGGGTTTAGAGAAAGAATTGGAGCTTCCAGCTGACAAGAGCGGATTATTTGACTTGGAGTGGGCTGTTAGACCAGATAACCACTTGTGGGTACTGGCAATAGGCTTTTCTAAACTATAAGCAACTGATGTGTCTTCTAAATAATCAACATGAGGAACAGTCGTTGCTTGCCGATATGGAGATCCAGGAGGACTAGCAGGAGGTGTGGGCAAAGTTGTTTCATTCATATCCAAAAATAAATCGACCAAATGACTACAAGCAGCGTTAGTAGAGGAATTATTCAGACTATCTTATTCACTATTTCTTTCATTCTCGAAATAGCATAAAAAACATACGTATTTTCCATCAAAATCCGTCGATAAACTTGAGAGATGTCTGCTATTTTCTGTTCAATTTCATCGGTTTCTTGAAGGACAACATCAAAAGATTTTCTCAGTTTCAAATATTTCCTTTTAAATGACTTTACAGAAGCCATTTTTACTTTATTGAATACAGATCGTCAATTTCCTCTCAACTCATGCTTGGCTCCTTCCTTGTCAGGATAGCGTATCCTAGTGACCTCGCTTTTTATCTTTATAGAATTTAAGCAATTGGTTCATTCTATATATGTTAACAAATGGTTTTCTATTTATGATACCCAAATCCTTTCGTACTGTAAATAAGTGATAAATAATAAACAAAAATAAAAGAATTCGATAGTCAAGCTGCTTTGATTTTCTTTTTAAAAGCAAGCAAATGGTATTGAACCATTTGCGACACCCTATTATATTTCACTTTTTCTATTGTTCACTAGGCAGATGAATTCATACGAGGATTTTATTATCAGGGATGTTGAAAGTGAATTCAATTTTATTTGTTTATGTACCAAACAAACATAAAAGAAATGGTCTTTTTCTGACCATCGAATTGCTATGTTTCATTAGATCTAAAAGATACCCCTAGCTTACATCGATTATAATATAATGAAATTTATCCATACATAGTATGAATAAACAATATGCCAAATTAAAGTAGTCGCTTTCATTTATGACACATTCCTTTTCCATAAATAAAAGTTTTCAGAGAATCAAGTTTTATAAAATACATTTTGACAATACATAACATACGATACTACAAAAACGAAATCGTCTAGGTGTAGTATAAAAATAACGTAATCAGACATCCCAGATACATAAAGCCATTTATCATTCCTTTTATTCTATGTATGTTTTTTTATGAAATGCATGTCTAGGACCACTAAAGGAAAGAAGTGAACGACTGTAAACGATGGAAAAGCTTTCTAGATAGTATGCGATATAGTTATATAGTTCAAGAAAACTATAGTTAATGTACCGTCTGTTCAAGGGTAATGGTCGTCTCCAGGGTATTAAATATGGAGAAGAGAAACCTAATCCAAAAAAAAAAGAAGAAAGACAAATTACAAGCTTAACCGATGAACCAAACCAAAAATAACCCAAAATGAAGAAATATACCTATTTCCTCGCTTTTTTATTTTTCACTTTCGTAAGGAGAGAGGAAAAAGAACCGGACATGAGACCCAAATTGAAGACACCTGCTTTTTCTTTTAATTATTCGTGCTGAATTTGTAACCACACCTAGGACATTCATAAAAGACAGTGGAACCTTCATCGGCACTTCGTAATTGCAAGGTATGGAAAGTCATCTGATCGTTACCACACTTAGGACACTTTTCGTCAATCTAGAACGAAATTAGTATTAGAATAATTAAGAACTAAAATAAAGAAATCATTAATTCCACTGAAGACTTGACAAATGTTCGTTGTGCCTTTAAGTCAATCAAGATGAATTAACATAAAACTCCATACCGTCGCAGCTTCCTCCTTTTGTGTTTCCACTTGGACAATACTATGTTTTAATTTCAGAGCAGAAGGAAAAGCATTGGGTCCACTTTTCGTTTCAACAGCCAAATTTGCAAATTGCGAAGATGGATAAACAGATTGACATTGATCACATGTGGTCCATTGTGCCGTAGTACTTTCTAAAAGATTTCCGCATTCAGAGCAAAAAACCAAGGATCCAATGGCTGACATGTTGGTTTGTCTTTTCCTTTAGGTGGAAAGCAAAGGTGAAGGAAAGGAGCGCATTTTCTTTTTTGCATCAAAAGTAAAGCAAACTTATCGTTCTACGTACTAGGGTTTACTATACTTTATTGGGTAAAATAGCGAAACGCACGTTAGTAAATAAACTTACGGTTAGAGGGAAAGCAAAAATTTGATGATAGTACAATGAATAAAGCAATCCTAAAAGATTTTTAAATGATAAAAAAATTTTAATTTCTATCTACTACTTTATCGATCATGATGTGCTCCTTTTTTCTTCATCGTTCGGCAAAGCAAGGCATCGGAGGTTTACAAATGTCTCAGGTTATTGTAAGTATCGAATCCCAATTTTCAATTCCCTAGTTCTTATTTTTATGTCGTTCCACTACAAATGACAAAGACGTAACAGTAACGTTCTGACTCTTCATCTATCTGATCACTCTTCTACTGTAACCTTGAATATAAAAACAGTGGGTTGTTTTTTTGTTCCTATATAAAGTCAATTTCAAATACAAACCCTGGTCCTTCTGTCTTTTCTTCAAAGCGTAATCCATACCAAGTTACTAAACTGAGGATAAACTCTACGAATTCCCACCAGGGAAAGAAAAATTTCAAAACCATGCTCTTCTTTTTTTTGCGGTTACTTAAACTTAAACGTTTAAGACTTTAGCCAAATTTGCTACTTGTTCTCACCTCTGGCCATACTCGTCATATCTCATGTCTGATCCGAAACCACTCATAACTTCCTATACTTGAAAACAACACGACAACCGCATGTTCGAGGATTTAAGAAGCCTCTGATCTTCCATTGGTTTTCTTCTGCTCTTTTGTTTGTTTTTTTGTTAAAAAAGCAAATTTGGCATTGATTCGTCAGTTTCTGACACTTCCCGTTTGATCTTTTCTGCGATAACAGTACACAGCTTAGTTTCAAATACTATATTTGTTGATCTTTTATTCTAAATTCTCTAATCTTTCTTTTCGAATTTTGTCATTTCGCTAAATACTTGAATTAAAAACCCGAAGGCTTATATTGCAGCTGAAACTATACCAAGGTTCTTTGGAACGCTTCTTTATTTTATAGAGCATTTTTTTTTTCTTTTCTTCTATAACCACTGATTCACTGACTTACTACTTTGATTTCTTACTTTTTATTTGAAAATTCTCTTGCGCTTACTATTTCCCTCACTTATTATGACATCGTCATCCCGTTGTAGTCAATCTTTAAAGAAAAATGGAATTTCAACACTCTTCCTGTCTATAGTTGTTATACTCATGGTGCAGGTCGTGTCGTACTTCCATAATTCCTTGCTTACCCCAGTCGACAGTCTTTACAAACCTGATGGTACCTCACAATTTTCTGAAAGGGCGGTTATGAGACATGTCAAGGAGCTTTCCGAAAACATAGGCTATCGAATCCTTGGTACAATTGAACAAGACCGCGCTCGTCAATACATTATGGACGAGGTCTTAGCCACCCAAAAGAACTTACAGAATAGTCCTTATTCGAATACGCATGAAATTGAGGTTTTTTACGAATCTGGCGATGGTGCTCATCTTTTCGACTTTATGAATAAATATGTAATTAAAAAGTATCACGGTTTGAAGAATATCGCTGTTCGTCTCAGTAATGGAACTGATGCTTGCAAAGAGGAAGCTATTTTGATCAATGCTCACGTTGATTCTACTCTGCCTAGTCCCGGCGCTACCGATGATGCTCTAGCCGTGGGTATTCTTCTAGAAAATTTGCGTGTTCTTTCCTCTCAACCTATTCCTTTAACCCATTCAATAATTTTTCTCTTCAATGATGCTGAAGAATCCTTGCAGGATGCTTCTCATCTGTTTATCACTCAAAGTAGCTTAAAGGATACCGTAAAATGCGTCGTAAATCTCGAAGCTTGTGGAACCACTGGTGCTGAAATCTTGTTTCAAGCTACAAGTAATGAAATGATTAAAGCATACTCTCATGTACCTCGTCCTTTTGGCACGGTTTTAGCTGATGATGTTTTCCGTACAGGCATTATCATAAGTGATACGGACTTTCGCCAATTCGTTCAATATGGAAACCTTACTGGACTGGATATGGCCGTTGTCCAAAACAGTTATCTGTATCATACGAAGAAAGACCTCGCCCCGTATATCACTCCCGGTACTGCCCAGCAATTTGGCGAGAATATTATGGCTATTCTTCGTTACTTAACGTCTCCTGAGGCTGACATGAAAAATATGGGTGAATCTAACACCGTTTATTTTTCAATCTTGAACCGATTTTTCTTCATGTATTCAGATGTCACTGCCAGGATCTTGAACACTGCTGTTGGTGGGTTGGGAATTTATCTCTCAATTAAAGGTTCTGAGTCCATAATTGTACCCTTCTTGTTTCAGCTTTTCACATTGTTTTGCGCTTTTCTTTTCCCTAACATTTGGGCGTTCGTATTCGGCAATGTCTTAGACAGAGGAATGAGTTGGTTCCGTAATGAGAGTTGGCCCTTATTTATTTACTTGCCTGTTATTATTGCTTCCATTATCTTTTCCTCTTGGATAAATAAAAAATCAGAGTATCAAACTTTTAAAGCCACGGTCTTACTATATTCTTTGATAACTTTAGTACCTTTGCACTCTGCTTACCTTTTTACTATTATAGACTCTTTCATGATACTCGCTTTATTAATTAATGACTGGGTTTTGGCGAAACAGAAAACAGTTCATCTGTTGAGCTACGTAATCGGATCAATTGGTTCTTTAACTGCTGGCCTTGAAGCCAGTACTACAATGCTCGATATCTTTGTACCTCTGACTGGTCGTATTGGAATTGAAAAAGTTGCTGATCATATTATTAGTTGTATTTGCGTTTGCTCTGTCTATATTAGCTTCCCTCTCTTTTCAGCTTGGATTCAACGTCTGCGTTCTCCCCGTTTCCTAAAGCTTGGTTTTCTGTTGTCCATACTAATAGCTGGAATTAGCTCTTACGTTTTAGGAGGACAAGAAACTTTCTATGACGCGTTACATCCTCGACGAGTTTTCATTCAACATATGGAGAATATCACATCAAATGAGTTTTCTTTGCATGTTGCCACCGCTGATTCTGCCCCAGGATTTGAGAAACTTGTATATGATGTGGCTAGTAAAGTCTCCGAGGAACCTGTTGTTCAAACAGAAATAGATGATTGGAATTCTGATTGGGATACAGTATATCCTTTCAGTCAATTCCTTGGATCGTATCGCATCCCTCTTAATGAAAAATCTAACTTTGAGTACAAACCCCGTTTGTCTTTCTCTGATAAAGTGATAGAAAATGGAATTGCTAATGTTACGGTAACTGTTGACTATCCTGGATTGATCTGGACAGTCATATCTTTTGACGCAAATGTGATATCTTGGTCTTTGCCGGAGGTACCTGCACATGTGCGCAGACATCATATTCGTGAAGTAAGTGCCTATGGCATCAATTCATATTCTTTCAATATGAGTTATATCGATGAGCCAATATTTTTTGACTTTGTAGGTCTCGATGCTATAGGGCACTATCCTTCTAAATTTGTGGAAGGCCAAAATCGTCCTAGTATGCGCATGTGCTCAAGTTTAAATGATGACTACTTGCCGGACTGGACGGATGCTCTTTGTATTGGAGTTGTATCTGCTTCCTTTAAGTTAGACTAACTTAATAATTTTGTTATATAATCCTTAAAAAAGTTCTGTAAATAAATCTTAACCAAATGAAGTTTAAATGCAATTTTATATAGAAATTTTTGGATTTTTTGAGGTCAAATAAGGCAGCTAATTTTTAAAGACTCACATCCCTTGTGCATCTGATGAGTGCTATTAAAGTATTTAGAAAATAAGAAATGTAAAAACCGGATAATATTGATTAGCCCTGAAAAACACACACAGTTGATGAATGCGATACTTCAATCGTATATCAATTACTTTTTCTCTTTTATATCATATATCCGGTTCGTTATATATCGTTAAAATCAACGTTAGAGCTCTACTATTCTTAGCGGAAAGAACAGTCACAACTTGACAACACAAACATCCTTCTGTGCAAAACTTTACCCACAGCGCATTAGCCGGTATCTCAACATGTCTCTTGTTCCACCCGAGAACGTAAGTAAAATGAAATAAAACGAAAGGGTTATACTAATTTGTATAGTTTCAACACATTCTCCGTCTTCTCAACACCAATGTTGATGGCAAGCATAAGGTCATGTACGCCATGACCCAAATTAAGGGTGTCGGTCGTCGTTACGCCAACATCGTCTGCAAGAAGGCTGATGTAGACATGTCTAAGCGCGCTGGTGAGCTTACCACTGAAGAGTTGGAGCGTCTTGTTACCATCGTTCAAAACCCTACTCAATTCAAAATCCCTACTTGGTTCCTTAACCGCCAAAAGGATGTCGTCGATGGCAAGTCTCACCAATTGCTTTCCAACAACGTTGATAGTAAGCTCCGTGAAGACCTTGAACGTCTTAAGAAGATCCAAACTCACCGTGGTCTTCGTCACGCTCTTGACCTTCGTGTCCGTGGTCAACACACTAAGACTACTGGTCGTCGTGGTAAGACTGTTGGTGTCTCTAAGAAGAAATAATTTAAATAGTCATCATAACTTTGTAGAACTTAAAATTGGATTTGACACTTCCGGTGGTATAATACGGTACCTGAAGCGAAAATGTTTATTTAGTAAGAAACCCGATTTCACATGTGTAAGTATTAAGTCTATTAAGTTTAACTCGTAATATAAAAGTTTGTGAATACTGTATTCGCTTAATGAAGGCGTGTCCTCCTTCGGAACATTAATTGAACAAAATAGTGTTTGTGTCTTAAAGTACCGTGTGCCATTTTCAAACTCGATTATTTTAACCATTTGAGTTTCAGCAGTTTTCGTTTATTAAAACATCATTAAAAACATCTTAAGTCTATTCTGTAAAAGAAAGTATACATAGAAATACACTATCGTTGCAAAATGAGTGGCTTTTATAAGGCATGGAAGTTATGAACTTGCAGTTGATATACTAACTGTTTTTAGGGGGTTGCTGCTGAGCAAGAAACGCTATATACTAGTGCTGACAGGAAATTGATGCGGGACACGAAATTTCCACCTAGTTTTGAAGCAAAGGTATGAGTGCGCCGGTTTGGTTGAAGATGGTAAACCTAGAAGAGCCATCGAAGGTTAAGATATAAAAGCTAACTTCATATGAAAGGTGGATATGAAAAAAGTGAATATTGAGGTACTAAAGCCTTGGATAGCTAATCGGTTAATCGAGCTTATAGGATTTGAAGATGAGGTAGTGATTGATTTTGTGTATAGCATGCTAGAGGAGGCTGTCGAAGCATCGAAAAGCACAGATTCGCATAATGAAGTAGCTCTAGATCCTAAAAAAGTTCAACTCAATCTTACAGGGTTTCTGGAGAGCAAGGCGTCTGAATTTACGGAAGAACTGTGGATGTTGATATTATCAGCTTCCCAAAATCCCTATGGAATACCTGAAAAATTCATTCAGGAGAAGAAAGAAGAACTCTCTAAACTTCGGGTAAGTTCATTGGAACGATCAATAATTGCTAATACAACTAGAGCCAAAGAGACGTTTCGGAATCCGAGGCTAAAAAAGAGATTGATCGCTCATTGCATCCAGCTGAAGAGCATACTTCCAGAGAAGGTCGATATCGTGATGTTAGGGAAAGGCCAGGAACCCGGCCGAGACGAGAACCTCGAAAATTTACGCGAAGAGAACAGGAAGGATCATCTTATGAGAGAGAAAGGTCACCACGTCGATATCGTAACAGCAGGTATGAGAATGATCCCTATGAGCGCCCGTATTCAGATCGTCACAGTTCACGGAGCTACCGTTCTTCTCATCGTCCAAGGACTAGTCATAGAAGGCATGAAGATTTCGATGAATTTGGAAGATCAATACCTTCTGAAAGACGAGATTCTGGTTACTATTCCAGGAGACAGAGAAGCCGTTCACCTTATGACAGTGAAGAAGAAAGGTTTTCTGGAAGATAGATTCCAAAATTAGCATTAAGCTATTAGAATAATGTTATGAATAATGGTTTTTCAATGTATTGCTTTTCATGGATTGTACGATAGAATTATAAAGTGGGAGGTTGATAGAATATTACGGGTTGGATTCACTTACACCGTTATTGAAGCATTGAAATAGAGAATATTAAATCTTTTGTTAGTTTGGGCCTCCTTACTTCTTGAGCTACAACTGACGTGCAACAACCCTGTGAATTGATTATGGCTCGAAAAGCAACTTTGAAGGATATGTTACACTAAAAGATTTTTGTAATCAAGGATATTGGAATGATATCTGAGAGGGACAAAGAGCAGACACTGACCATACCTACATTGTACTCTGAACCCATTAGGAAATGACCGACAAAATAAAGCTAAAATGGGAAATTAATGATGAGGCATATTTAGAAATGAATAAATTATGTATGGAAATTATTTCTTTTCGGGATAAATATACATTGAAGGAATGTTTTGCTTTGGTTCAGGAAAATATGCAAAACCTTTACGAAAACAGTGTCCTTAGTTGGGATGATGAAGCTAAATGGAGAGAGATGAGCATGGATTCTCTTTGTTATATTTGTTTATATAGTACTGAACGGCGTAAATTGGTCGGCTTTATGAGTTTTGAAGAAACAGTTGAAGCTGATCTTCCATGCCTTTACTTGTATGAACTTCAGATTACAAAAGATATGAGAAGAAGAGGATGTGGGTCATGGCTCATGAAACAATTGATACGCATCGCTGAGCAAAGACAGATTCCGTATGTCTTTTTGACCGTCTTTGGTAAGAACGAGCAAGCTCTCAATTTCTATCATCAATTCCAGTTTTATCCACATCCAACATCTCCGCAATCGAAAACGTTTCGGTCTGGCAGAGTTGTTCATCCAGATTACTACATCTTGTACACTAATATAAAGAATAATTAGGGAAGAACAGCAAAATCGCTTTTGCGCGTATATACTGTATAGAAATACAACAAAACAAAAGGAAATCATTTATTCATACTTTATCGAAACTATATTACTCGAAAACTTGATGACAAACACAATTAGATCGTTTCTCAATGAAGACATTACATTTCTTTTATTTGACATCTTTTAACAAAAGGTAATATAGGAGTTTAGTGGTAGAGTATTGAAGGAATTTGTAAAAATGAATAAATTGAATTACCTATTGACTTATAGAACAATTGTTTATTAAGAATACCAAAACAGAAACGTTCTTAAACTATTAACGATAACCTTATGCTTCCCAAAAACTTTACCGAATCATAGTGAACTGATAAATAAATAGTGGTGGTGGCACGGATATTCGATTTAAGGCGCCGCGGTACTATGCCTTAAGCAATGACAACTGATTTGCTTTGTTCCTTCTGTATTAAAAACAAACTTGACTTTCACCAACAACTAGAGGACCTTGGGCATCTAATAAGCACCAAAAGTAGTATTATTTGGTGTGAAAATGAATACCAATAAGGAGACTGATTACTCCCTTGGGGTGGAAATGATTCCACTTAGCATGGGGGAATTCTTTGAGGAAATTGATCATATACGAGATGCCATTCGACAAATCGAGGATAATGTTGGCAGAATAGAAATGCTGCATCAGCAATCTCTTCAGGAAGTAGATGAATCGAACATTGCTGCTACTACTCGTCAGTTGGAAGGATATACTGCCGATACCCGTCGTTTACAAACCAGTGTTCAATTGGCAATCCGATCTTTGGAATCACAAAACATGCAGCTGCCTCCTGATAATGACACAGCTACTAGAAGAACTCAAACGGAAGCTGTTAAAAAGAAGTTTATGGATCAAATTCGACACTTCTTGCAGATTGAGAAGACATACCGCGCACAATATGAACAACGCATGCGCCGTCAACTAGAAATTGCGAACCCAAGAGCTACCGAAGAAGACTTCCAAACCGCCATTAGCGAAGAAAACGGTGGTCAGGTCTTTGCTCAGGCTTTGTTGCGCTCTAACCGTTCTGGTGAAGCCAGAACTGCTCTTCGAGAAGTTCAGGAACGCCATGCTGACATCAAAAAGATTGAGCGTACTATTGCTGAACTTGCTCAATTGTTTCAAGACATGGCTACCATGGTCCAAGAGCAAGAGCCCGCTGTTGATAAAATAGTTACCGACGCCGTCAACGTACGAACCAATATGGGTGAGGGTACACAACATATGGATCGTGCTATCAAGAGCGCCAGAGCCGCTAGAAGGAAGAAATGGATCTGTCTCGGTGTTTGCGTGCTTATCGTCTGTATTTTAGTCGCTGTTCTTTGCGGTGTTTTGATTCCTGTTGTTGGCAATCATAATAAACATTGATTTATTGGTTTAGTAATTCTTCTTCATGCTCGTCTATCCCAAAGTCATGTTAAAAATACCGCAATCACCATTTTACTCAGTTTACTCTCATCTAATAGGAGTTGTTAAGTCACCGAGCAAATGTACGGGTGATCGAACACCAAGTATTTTACTCATCCCGTTAGTGTATTGATATTCTAAGTCTTTGCCCTACTTTGCCCGTTGATTCTAACTCTTATACTCGTTGCTGGACATCTTTCACTCTCTATGATCGTCTTTTAATGTTCAGTATCCTCTCACTTGCGTTTATGTTTACTTCAATTACATTTTTAAGTTGTTGGTTAATTTACATATCGTCTTGTATGCGCGCCCTTTCTAATCGATTGATGCCTTGAAGTCGTTGATGGGTCGAAACAACGGAGCTCGTAAATGTATTATAATGTCGCTCGTTACAAAGTCTCAACAAAGTATAAATAGACTAATAGGTTCATAGTCTTTTTAAGTTTATATACTTATTTCCCTTTTCATTTTCACTGAATTCACTGCATGAATAGGTGTCTAATTTCTGTAAGGCATCTGTATGCATTAAGTGAAAATACAATATCCTTTATTATCTATGCTCATCAACGAAATAGGTATTGATAAAAACAGTAAATTCATAAGAGTTACCTTAATAAATTTTTATAAATAGTATCAAAAGTAGTCAATCTAAAGCTCATCAGGAACGTCATTGTCATCCTTCAACAAGGATGTCTGAAATTGAGATGGCGAACAAGCTGCAGGACTTTTCATCTTTATGGTATATTCACACTTTTGAGCTTCTAAAACACTAACAATTTCGTTTTCAGTTCCGCAATCAACGACGACTGTGGCAGATCGATCAGGACCGTTCCAACAGCTTTGACCGTTCAAATATTTAAGTGTGTTTCCACTTTGCTCTGAAAAGCTCCTAAAAGGTATCAGCAATTATGTCCAAAAAATGGAAAAAAGCACTCATACCCTAAATTAATAGAATCCTGATAAACATTTTCAAAGAAAAGGATTTTGTACAGATAGTCACCAACTTTAAGCTCTGTCTTCATCCCTTTCATGAACCGATACAGATTATCCCAACCATTATGGTGCTCTTGCAAATCTTCAAGAAGAGTAGCCTGTTCTTTATGCAGATTTTCCAATTCATCTTCTGCTGCATCCAAGTCAGAATGAATACGCTCCAAGTAAGAACCTAAAGTTCAACTGTCAGAAAAATTAACAAGGCTTCCATACCTCCTTCAGCCGTTTTTAATAATGTGGCAGGAATACTAGGACTTAGTATTCCGAAATCAATTAAAGAGCGCTTCACATTCCAATAAATTTCCGTTAGGTCTTTCTCAATTTTTTTAAAGAAGCTAAAATAAGTAGCTATATTTTGTTAATAACTCAAAACATTCTATAAATTTTAAACGCAAAGTTTGGTACCTTCTTCTTTAGCAATCCGAGAAAGATGTGTCAAAGATGATTCCAAGTCATTGTGAATTTTTTCTGAGGAAACCTTTCTTTTTATGTTTTGAGATTTGAGATCCTCCCAAGAATCCAAGGCTTCTTTCAATGTTCCATCAAAATTATCTGTTTCATACTGAAGAGAGATTTCATCTAAAAGATTCTCCAAAGCACTCAGACGTTCATTGTACTCATTTCTCTCATCAAGCAAATTGAATAAGTCATTCTTAATTTCTTCTAAATCAGTTGAGAGAACGAATCTACTATCTGATTCCGGAGACTGTTTTAACGTTTGCACTGTGTTTTCGAGTTCTTTTTTCAATTTCTCGATTTCTGTTATTTTCACTGATACTGAATCGTACTTTCTCTTTGTTTCCTTCTTCATTACAGCACTTTGGGCTATCCAGTCATCCCGAATTTTTAGGCCATCATTTACAAGTTGATTATGTTTCGTTAAAGACTGTTTATAGACTTCGGCTTCTTTCTTGCAAGTATTTTCACACTTAATTAAAGACTCATCTGAACCGTCGCAGCAGTCGCATTTCGTATCATCAACCCAATTTGAAGGAATGTACTTGCTAATGTAACCATCATTCTTGCAGAAAAACTTTCCATTTGAGCAAGCAGAAGTCCCTTAGTAAAAATCATTAGTACAGCTTTCAAATTAATATATTATACCAGGTTCATCAGATCCATCTGGACAATCACAGTAGTCATCTTCAAATATGTGTTAGCATCATCATGAGTTTTTCAAATGTTCCTACCATTAATTTGTTCAAAACCAATCGTTTTATCGCTTCCTAAACATTTCCATTGCCCGTTTGCAGTTGGTTTATAGAGATGCAATTCTTCAATAATTAGTATGCATGGAATTCATGGCCAACGATGAACATACCACTTTCAGAAATACCTCTAATTGAAAGCTTGGCATTTACAAAAGAAAACAATAAACTACCGAACAATGCCGCCAGAAAGTTACGAGATTTGAGATGCATTCTGCGAATTGGCAGTAGAAGCTTTTGAGTAGCAAGTAAATCGCTGAGATATGATAGGGATTGGGGTCATATAACCTTTTTAAGGACGTAGCTGTTTGATTTTTTAATTACTTTTTCAGTTTCATATACAACTTAATTAAGAGTTAGAAGTTCATCGATTTATTGTTTAAACAGTACTAGGTTACTTGGTAAGGAACTTTGTAAAATACAAAATAACTACGGATTGTATTATCATCTTTTAAAACATGTCAAGATAAATAGATGTTTTTTATTTTTAAATTATAAACCAACCGACTAAACAAAAACTTTATGAGAATTATCAAATGAATCTGAAACCATCATCTCAAAGCCTTACTTTTTTGTTTGGCCAATTCCGCTTGTTTTTCGCTTTCTCTATCCTTAGCAATCTGCTCTTTAAGCATCATCTTGTAATCACGAATTTCACCATCAAACTCTTTCACAGTACCATCCTTAACAACCCAAATCTCTTCAGCGACCTGATCAATAAGACGGAAATCGTGGGTAATGAAAACTACACCACCATCGAAGTTGTTCAGTGCATCAGCCAAAGCATCGATGGTATCAATATCCAAAGCGTTTGTAGGTTCATCAAGAAGTAAAATGTGTGGTTGAGTCATACCAAGGAAAGCGAACAGCACACGACGACGTTGTCCGTCAGAAAGCTGACTCATAGGGATGACTTGACTTTTACCAGTAAGGCCATAACGACCAATGATTCTTCTCATCTCACCTTCAGGTTTGTTACCAAACTTAGTACGAAGCCAATCTACTGCAGATAGCCTCATGTCCAATTGGTCACCCATGTGTTGATTGAATAAAGCCAATCGAAGACCGTGATGGTGAACAACGCTTCCAAGTGTAGGTTGAACTTTCTCAAGGATCAATTTAATCAAAGTAGTCTTACCAGCACCATTAGGGCCTACCAAAGCAACTCTAGAATTCAGATCTAAACCAAAGTTCAACTTAGAGAAGATAGTAGGGCCTTCAGGATAGTTAAAGGAAACATCTTGGAATTTAATAGCAGGAGACGGGATACCACCACCACATTCCTGAAAGCGAATAACTAGTTGTTTTTCCTGAATGATTTCTTCGTCTAGAACCTTACCAGATTGTTTATCTTTTTCAAGACGTTTGTCCATAGCCTTCACTTTAGCCTTGGCCTTCTTTTGTTGATCACTTCCAGTCATGTTTAGTTTATTTTGAAGTTTAGCCATGTCTTTTTCTTGTTGACGAGCTTTCTTTGATAATTGCGCATCACGTTCTCCACGGACCTTGAGAAATACATCGTAGTTACCAGCATAGTAATCAAGTCTTTGATGGTGAAGATGTATAATATCAGTACAAACCTCATTAAGAGTATCTTGGGTATGGCAGGTAATCAACAAAGTATGACCTTCCATTTCATGAGTCAAGTATTCTTCCAAAAAGGCAACTGCTTCAAGATCCAGATGATTAGTGGGCTCATCAAGCATCATAAGAGTAGGTTTAATAAACAAAATACGAGCCAAAGCAATACGCATTCTCCATCCACCACTCAAATCTTCGGTTCGCTTGGCTATCATTTCATCGGTAAATTGCAAACCTTTAAGGATCTTATAAACAATATGCTCACTATTATCAGTTTCAAGTTCAGTTAAGCGAGTTTGGATAGTATCTAACTCAACAGCATTCTTGTCTGGATCATCGAGTAGGTCCTCCATTACGGTTTCAAGGTGCTTACGTTCCTGTTCATTTATGTCCAAAACCGCTTCCACGCAGGTAAGTGAATTACCCATGTATTCACGATCCAATAAATAAAAGTCTAAGGACTGAGGAGCAGGGATTTGTCCACAAGCAATTGCATGAAGTAAAGTAGATTTACCAGTTCCGTTTGGAGCAATTAAACCATATCGACGACCGTTGATTAAGCTAAGTTCAGAATCCTTAATAAGATGTTTACCATAAGCGGATACAGATAATTTTTCTACTTGCAAATCACGGCTATTGGGAGGGCTGAGCAAATTGCCGGTAACGGTAATACCGGCTGAAGGGTCAGAACCATCAGCGGAGACTTTTTGCCCGGAAGCATAGGCAAAAATGAGGCGTCCTGAAAGTAAACCATCCTTCAAATTTTGGTTCTGATTAAGAGGCCCCTTACCGGCGGTCTCGTCTTCCTCCTTAGGCTCCATAAGAGCAGTCATTTTTCGAGTCTTTTCTTCTTTCTTGCGGGTTTTGCGGTCTTTCTTAGGTTCATCCGACTTCTTCGATTTTTTCTTTTCCTTCTTGGAAGTAGAAGACTCTTCTTTCTCCTCGTCATTCAAGGACATCTCATCCATGTCTTCGTTTAAATTGTCGAAAGCATTCTTGCGACCTGTCTTTTTGTCATTCTTCTTTTTCTTTTTGGGGTCTTCATCAACAACTGACTCTTCTAATTCAGATTCTTCTTCATCTTCCTGCTCATCAGCAAATGCAGCAAAGGCATTCACTGGCTTCTTGTTTTGGCGAGAAGATTTCTTGGGAGGAGAAACATCTTCTTCTTCTTCTTGAATTTGCTTAACATCGGAATTGGAGTCAGATTCTTCATCAGAAAAAACTTCTGCCTTCTTGGCAGACTTTTTGTTCTTCTTCGTTTTTGGCTTAGGAGCTGGTTTTACAGCTTCAATCTCACCTTGATTGTTTTCTAAGTCCAAATCGGTATCGCGTTGATTTGCACGTCTTCCCCTAGCCATTTTTCAAAAATTCAATATATCAAAAGAATTGATCCCAAAATTTTTTACAAGGCAAGTTACCCCAATTAAAAAGTATAAAGAATGATATTAAATGAAGGAAAGCTTAGCTGTGAAGCTCTCAAATTATATACTAGAAATAGGGTAGTTTGTTGTAGAGAGTAAGTCTAGTAGAGGCAAAAAAAATAATGGCGAACTACATAAGCAGAAGAACGCCGCTTTTTACAATCACAAACTTAGATGTAATAATTTTGAATTATATGAATGACTAAGTGCTCGAAAAAACAAATTGTAAAGACACACGCCAAGGAATTCAAGCAATTTAAAACAGGGCTAGGTACTTTTTTTTATTATTATGAATACTTAACACTATTACTGAAAATCCATACCAAAACAGAGTAAAAACATGTCAAGCTGTTACGATGACTGAAAGGCTGAAATTTCAGCAGTTTCAGCAAAAAAGTTTCATGGATGGTTGGTGTAGCTAGGATATTCCGTCTATTGTTTAATTATGATATTATTTATGAATCTATTTTTACTTTTATTGAAACATAACAAGACATTGAAAACTGATGGCTTCGCTCATGTCGAAAACTGGACATAAGCTGTTACAAACAGTTTAAATTGACTATAAATTGATAATTATTTAGTAAGTTAAGTAACAAGGAATAAGCATGAAAAGTAACTCATATTCTATCATCAACCCTCGAAATGTATATACATTTTTGGTCATTCTTCCAAACTGTACGGAGCATGGCCCCAAAAGGGAAAAAGGGAAAACCATCGGATGGTATAGTTGATAAAAAGGATTCTAATGATAAAAATGTTAAAGACAAAAAAAAAGGTGGTCCAGCCGGTAAAGGAACTCGAGAGACAGTAGAAAATAAAACGGAGCCCAATACTCCTTCTCGTCCTACAGCTAAGCAATTGGTGGGGGGAAGTTCATGGACTGGTAAAATCCCTGTTGTATTATTAAATGAGCATTGCCAGAAAAGTAAATGGGAAAAGTCGGATATACAGGTGGTAAGTTGATACTACTAACTTAATTGAACAGCTTCTAATAGTATCCGTAACGCAGAAACAAACAAAATCCAAACAATATATATTCACTTCCGCACGCTTATCGAAAAGGGATCCAAAAAACTCATCTGTTTTTGATCATGTTAACCTGGCTCCTCCCAAGGCCTTTTACGAAAAAGGCTATTTTCCTGAAAAAGAAACGTTGGTAGAGGCCAGAAATGTCGGAGCTGTATACGCATTACACAGAGTAAGTGATAAAAAGTGCTATTGTGGAAGTTAACCCAAAATTTGTTTCTAGGTTCTGTCCCATAAATCTTTACAGCATGCACTTCCTCCAAACTATAGAGATATATGGTTAAATTTGGAAAAACAGAAAAAAGAAGATGTCAAAAATAATAGACAGTATCTTTATCACGAGGACCCGTTTAAAGCTGCGAAAGAACGCGAAGCAGAAATTTCTGCGAGTAAACAAGCCTCAGCAAAACCACCTGTTCAAAGACTTCCCAAACCTTCATTCTCTTCTACAGAAGGAACTCGTCTTTCAGGATTTTCCCAGTACGATTTCAAACATGCTGTTACTCTCAACATGAGCCTTAATCATCGTCAGTCTATAGAAACTCTCTTACGCTCGTTAAGCATCTGGGATGGATACGAGAAAAAAGAGGTTCTAGAAAGTCTTAAAGAACTTTTAGTAAAAGATTTAGTAAGTTTGGGATTTCGAGACTTACATGCAAAGGAAGCATGTCAGTATTGCTCGTCCTTAGAGGAAGCACTAGAGTGGTTGATTATTCATGTTCCAGAGGATGACCTTCCTGAAAGATTTCTGCCTTCTGATTATAATGTTGGTGTTAGCATTCAAAATAATAACTCTGAGACACTTGCTATTCATTACAATGCAAAACGTATGAAACTCTTTTCTTCATTATTTGTCTTATTTTTTCTGTTGCTAATCACCTTGTATAGGCCTTGGAGATGCTGGCTACAATTATGACTTTTCTTTCTCTGTCCTCCAAAGATTCAGAAATGATTTGGCACTTGCCGCAGAATATTTACAATTCCATCTTGTTGGTAAGGAATTTCCTGATAAACCTGAATTTTCCAGCGATTCAATTACTTTCTTTAAGGAAGAAGCAGAAGCGCTTCAATCAATATACCAAAGTAAAGTTTCTGTACAAGAGGATTCTTGTAAAATTAAGCTCAATTCACCGTCCGACGAATTTGGGCAGATATATATTGAATTTAAATTGCCTGCTAGTCCTTATCCTCAAAACATACCTATAATATTTATATCTTCAACTAAAAGAATGGCATCCTATATAAAGCTAAGTATAGTGAGAAAGCTACTTCTTTATGCTCATAATTATGTTGGAGAACCTATGCTTGACATTTTATATGATTATTTGCAGGAAAATATTACCAGTTTTCTAAAGAATCTTGAACCTTTATTAAGTCTTTCGTCGGTTACAATTGGAACGGATGTATCGAAGACTAAAGATGTTATCTCCCATATGCAAAAAGAAAGCAAAATGCCGAAATTATTTAAACGTGACCCCAAAATGGATAGAAAGGTCTATCAAATTTGGTTAGATAGACAAAAGAGCCCAGAATATTTACGAAGAACGAAAGATAGAGAAACCCTTCCTGCTTTCAAGTCAAAAGAGACTATATTATCGTCCTTACAAAGCTGTCAGTCCATAGTTATAAGTGGTGAGACTGGAAGTGGTAAATCTACGCAAGTAGTTCAATTCATTTTGGATCATTTTCTCTCGGAAGGTCGCGGTAATGTCGCTAATGTTGTTTGTACTCAACCTAGAAGAATTTCAGCAATCAGTTTAGCTGAAAGAGTTTCCTTTGAAAGAACTACTGCTTTGGGAAGTGAAGTTGGCTATAGTGTACACGGAGATAAATGTATTTCGCAAGAAACCTTATTAGAATTTTGCACTACTGGTTTGTTACTGAGAAGAATCCAGTTGCATGGCTTAGCGTATCTTCGTACTCTATCATGCATTGTTGTTGACGAAGTCCATGAAAGATCCATTGATAACGATATACTTCTTGCCTTACTAAAGCTTATTATACCTCGCATACCCAACTTGAAGATTGTGCTTATGAGTGCAACAGTGAACGCTGAAAGCTTCATGTCGTATTTTCCAAAGTCTAAGCATTTACATATTGAAGGCAGAACGTATCCCATTAGAGATCTTTATATTGAAGATTTCAATTTCATAAGCGATGAGGATTCAAACAACGAAATTACGAAAAAAAGAAATGGTTTCTACGAAGTGGACTATAATCTTATTTCCCAGCTCGTAAACCATATTAATTCTGAACTCGGCTTGAATAAGGGTAGCATTCTAATATTTCTACCAGGAGTTTCAAACATTAACCGTTGTATGCAAGAAATTAAACGGAAATGTGGTGATGGTTTTGAAATTCTTCCTCTTCATGCTTCTTTGAATACTACGGATCAAAGGAAAGTTTTTAAGTCTTATAAGAAAAGAAAAGTCATTTGTTCAACAAATGTGGCAGAGACTTCGATCACAATCAACGACGTAGTGGCGGTTATTGACAGTGGAAGGGTGAAACAGATTGACTATGATCTCGATCGGGATTTAGTTACGTTCAAAGAGACATGGGCATCTAGAGCTGCTTGCAGACAACGAAGAGGTAGAGCAGGTCGTGTTCAAGAAGGAATATGCTTCAAATTATACAGTAGGGGATTTGAGAAAAAAGGAATGGCTGATGAGACTCCCCCGGATGTTCTTCGAACAGCCTTGTCACAGGTTTGTTTAAGCGTCATACCTTTAGTAAGCCGTTTTATCAGCGGTAAAGATGCAGACAGACAAGGTGCTGTTAAAAAATTTATGCAGTACCTTTTAAGTCCTCCTACTGATCAAGCAGTGGATACTGCCATAGAGAAGTTAATTCAGGTTGGTGCGTTAACTGAAAATGAAGAACTCACTGGAATGGGAGAGTATTTGGTAAGTCGTTTACTTATTTGTATTCATTACTAACAATTAGGTTGCTCTACCAATAGATTTAAAGCTAGGAAAACTTTTAGTTTTAGCCTCCATATTCGGATTCACTGAACCTGCTTTAAGTATCTCGGCAGTATTGTCTTCGAAGTCCCCATTTTTGCATGACGATGGTGCACGAGATATAAGATCTAATCTAAGTAATGGTTGGGGTGATGTCCTAACAGATGCTAAAGCATACGACCAGTGGAATGAGATTATGAAAAATAGCGGTTTGAAAAAAGCAGCTCAATGGTGTCATGATGTAAGTGTTTTCCCGTCTAATTGTTTATTAACATATAGAATCATATTTCTGTTTTAAGTATGCAACAAATAAGACAAAACAGGTCAGAATTAAGCGATGCTATACAAATGTTGAAACTTGTGATTAATCTGAAGTACAATGAATTCTCATGGAATTCTAGTGAGGATTTATCGCTTCTTTCAGCTATAATTGCTGGTGCATTGCGACCAAATATCGTGAAATGCGCTTACCCAGACAAAAAGTACGTGTCTTCATCTTCTGGCTCAATTGAGGTTGATCAAGAGGCTCGTTTAACCAAATTTTTTGATCAATCTAAAAACAGGTTGTTTATTCATCCGACAAGCGTGATGTTCAGCAATTCACCGAATCCATCCAAGACTACATTTATAGCTTATGAACGAAAGGTAGAAACTACGAAACCATTTCTGCAGAATTGTACTCCTATCAATACGTTTGGGATGGCTTTGCTTGGGACAAATGACATTATAGTGGATCCTTTAGGAAAGGGCTTAATTCTTGATAATGCTTTTGCTGTGAAAGCTTGGCCGAAGGTTGTGATTCTACTTAAATTGCTTAGACGCTATTTGGATTTTGCTTTGCATCAAAGATTGGAGTCTAATCAAAAGGTATATTACGAAGATGATATTCGCAGATGCATACAGTCATTGATTGCCAGTAATGGCACTTAACTGCTTTTGCGAGCAAGAAAAATAAACTTTTTGGATGAATACGTTTGTATCTTTTCTCTTTTTTGTCTTTCGTGTCGTATCTTTCAATATTGACTTAAAAGTTCGTATTTGTATTTATTGAAATTTAAAAAAAAAAATAAGAAACAAGTGCTGAAGAAGCTATATCATTCAGTTCGGTGCATCCATATTTGTTTGAATGAGAGTTGTATCAAAATGAACCATCGTGTGGGTGCCGTTTAAAGTAACGACCAAACTCCAAGTATTTTTTTCATTTTGTTTGTAACGAATTTAATATACGATCGACCAAATGCCTACTTAATTAAAATCAGTATTGTATAACTGGACTACATTGTTTTTGTATTCGCTAAAGCATTTAAGGTTTATTAACGAATTATAAGGTATCTATCGTATCTAAGATAGCATACTTTCCACTGTCATTGCTTGTTTTAAACCAACTAAACGTAATAAACTCCAAATCGTCAAGAAAAAACTGCCAAAATCATCCGTGAACTAAGAAGATTGAAATCGAGTTAATCGGTTCATTACATTTGAATAGAGGGGAAATTGAGGAAAAAACGAATGGAATGAGCTCAATCTCTACTTCAAAAAGGAGAGAATTAGAATTGAAGATTTATGGACCACTCAAGAGACAAACTCCATATACTGGGAACAGTTTCAGATACTTATGACAATGTCGAGGATTTAAGGTCAGTTTTAAAGTATCGCGCATACTTCACTACAACAGATACATTTTTCTGCAAGCGCATAGGGGCTTTTTTTACAGGCATCAAGGCGTTTCCTACCGAAAATAAACTTCCTCTGGAAACTCACTTCAATCACATTGAGTGGAATCTAGGAGGGAATTTTTTGGTCCAAGAAGGAACGTTATACACGTTTGATATCATAGCACCCCTTCCTAGGTACACGCCGAGAACAATATTTACGCCTGATGGTGCTATTCATTATACATTGACTGTGAATATAAGCACAGACGATATTTGCCGAATGCCTAGGATCGCTACTGTTCCTGTTGTCGTACCTTTTACCCTGAATCCCGACCGCATGCCAGGGCCGCATCACATTCGATTTGGTCTTCCTTTAAACCAGGACTCTTTTACGAAACTTGTGTTGTCACCTAAAAAACATAAAGACCTTAAAGTTGTAGTGAAGTATCCTCAACAAAATTACAAAGGTCCAGGTTGCATATGTCCCCTTCTTATCGATTTCGAACTAGCGCAACCTGAGGAAGGAAATATCTACAACGCGTATCCGGAAAAACTTAGCAGTACTCCTATTGTAAGAACACCTTCTTCTAATGCTTCGAAAAGCTTACATGAATCTGCTGATTCTATACCAGAGCGCTTGAGTCGACTTAGTCTCGAACTTGGTGAACATAAACTATCTCATGCTAAAAGCCGTGCTTCTTCTCCCGCTCCGCAATGTACTTATGAAAGGTATTTTATTCATGTCTGTCTTGTTCAAAAAGTCACTTTTTTACTTTTCAACGGTCCCTTCAGAGTATCAACAACCGTCCTTTACGAGGATGGACGCTGGACCCCTCCTACTGTACCAGGGCTTCATTCAAGAGTTGAATTTATGGTGCCCTTTGAAGACACCATCCATGGAAGTGTAACCAAAAATCCTCATCTTCTTGTAAAGCATAATTTTTATGTGTCCGTTCATACTTCAGAACCATCAACTGTTCTACTAAAAAAAGGTTTTTCATCTAACTCTTCACTTAAGAAAAAATCTTACTCTTTATTTTCTTCTTTCAGATCTAGCTCATCCCTTGTTTCAAATTGGCATTTAGACTCGGAAAATAACAGTACACCGCAATCGTCTAGTGAGTTGTCTTTAAAGTGTTTATCTCAATATTCACCTAGAAACTCACAAAAGTTACATTACAAGCTGAAAAAGTTCGAATTTAAACTGCCTGTCTTCATCTTTCATCGAAACCTAGATTCTGAATTGTCCCATCTCCCTCCTTATTCCCCTAGTCGTGATCCTTACTTCTATTTGGAAGACGACGAAGAGGTAACGACTTCGTCTATTTCTTTAAATCAAATAACTGATATTTCTCATAATCCGTCTTTATCCAAAAGCGGTTAAGGTTATTTATGTGTTTTTGTTTATTGTTTTTTGTTTATTGTTGTCCTGGCTTTTCTAAGAAAGACTACAATTATCCCTTCGTTCTTCCGTTAACGCCTTCTATTAATTTTGATCTAATAGTACATGACTTATTTTTATGAAATTTACATTCTTATATTTAAATTTGTTTATTATGATTAACCCATAGTTTATTAATCACTTGATTTGAATTTTATTTTATTCACAAGGAACAAAGGTCTATTGCAAGGGATATAAACAAACATAAATCATGAGAATTCTTAAGGTTCACCAAATTAACCATTATTATACGCAAATCCTTTATACAAAACCAAACATAAAACATATCTTTTCTTTCTGTGAGTATTCAATGAATCATTCCCTGATGTCTTATATCCGTCTGCTTCATTTCAGTAATCTTTTGTTTCAACCTCGTTGTCAAATCAATTGCTTTACTCCAATCTGAAGTCAAGTTTGAGCGTGGAGAAAATGGCTGTTTCGGAGGATCTGTTTGAAACGAAAGATTATTTGCTGATTTTGAAAACGCTGATGGAGAGTGCTGATTAAAGCCTGTAGAGCTTAAAGGTCTTGCTCTTCCTAATGGAGATTGTAGAAGGTCAATGCGATTGCTTGGACCTGCCGATGTGTCTAACATTTCTGAATTAGCTCTTCGCAAAAAAGCAGATCTTCGATCATTTAATGGAGATGAAGGTTGCATATCACGAATCATATTTAGTTCCTTTCTGACTTCAGTTAATTCTCTTTGCAAACGAGTTTTTTCATCTCTTTCACGAGATAATAAGATTTTAAGCTCTTCATTCTCTTCATTTAAGGAAGCGATTTCATCGACTGAGCCGTTATGATTAGTTTTCAATTCTAAGTAATTTGAGGATGTCTTTGAAAGTTTTGAAGGCTGATGTGCCGCATCGTCTAATTCCATGTTTTTTATTCCTTGTACCGTTTGGCTTATGGTCCCAGCAGGTAGAGGTGATGTCGATTTCAAACCGGGAGACTTATTTAAAAGTGGTGAATTGCGAGAAAGACCACGGGCAACTGGTCTAGTTGTTGGTCTTGGCATTAAAGGTCCATTTTCAAAAGCATTCGTTTTCTCCACATTTAAAGAAAGCTTCTCAGTATTCGCCTTCTTTTTAGGGGAAATCGATGCAGTCGAAGTAGAAGATGGAGGCAAAGGTGGGTTTTTAGATAATCTTGGCTTCGTGGTTACTACTGATTTAGTGTCAGGCTTCTTAGCTGAAGCTGTAGGTGCCGGTTTTGTTTTCGGTGGTGCTACAGCCTTAACCGTAGCAGACTCGAAAAAGGACGTAATTTTCGATTTTCGTATTTCGTCCAAAGAATCCAAGTATACTGCTAATGGGCGCTCTCCTACTAGCTTCATAAGGGTTCCAAGGGCCTCAGCTGCCGCAGAACGTACAGGTTCGAATGTGTCGGAAACTCCCGGAACACAAGACTTAGCACACACTTCAATAGAAAACTTTGAAGGGTATTGAAGCACTTTACGGAAACATCGAGTTTGAAGATTAAAACATGCAATTTTAATCTGAGGGTTTTTGTTGTTAGAAAAAGCGGAAATGGGTTCAGCAATTTCATCGAAAGGTATCGTTTCACAAGCAGCATCCATTGCTGAAGACAATGTTTCTACGACATTTTGCTTTTTTTCTTTTGATCTTTCCAAAAGTGCTTGGATTGAAGTAATGGCATATTTAGAATAATTAGAACGAAGTCCTTTAGCTAAAGCCGTTATGCAATTTGCTGCATTCATAACCACCATAACATTGGCATCTTTCACAATAGCTTTAGATAACAAAGTGACCAACCCGAAAAATTCTCCATCTTTTATTTTTGGCTGACTGAGGATTGGGATGAGTGCATCAAGAGCTTCCTTACGCTCTTTCCACTTTGTCGAGGACATTACGGATTCCAGATTGGAATCAATCTTAGGAATCACATCTACTTCTTCTATTAAATCAAATTCATCTTCTTCCTCCTGAAGGTTTGGCTCCTCTTGTATTCCATGGTCATCTTCTTTTTCACTTTCGTCAGTAGCTTCCGTTTGCTCGGGAATTTGACTCCTTAATAGACGCAGTTGTTTAGGAGGATCCGTAGGTAATTTCGAAAATAGAGCTTCAAGCTCCTTCACTTGAACAGGTTTCAAATCACCAAAGATAGATGCTTTTAAAGGCTCTCCAATCCAGCGATACAGATGAACGGTTAATCGGAACGTTTCTTGACGTACGTTTTTATCGGCATGTCCAAATAGTGACTTTAATTGTGCCACAATTGGTTTTGGCGGAACGATTTTTGTACCAAACTGTTCGACCAAGTCAGCGATAGCCGATACGTTGGCCGTAATAACTTTCGGAGACCGCGCAGATAACGAAGGAAGAAGGGCATCAATAACAGGACCTGCAGCATCAACTTCAATCATTAACATCAGGGCTTCAACAGCATCGGATTTTGTGGAAGCTCGAGAGGTAAGGCATTTTTCTGAAATGGCAGCAGAAGCAAGTTCTCTACATTTAACGATATAAGAAGGGTCAGAAAATTTACAGAACGATACGAAAGCAGTAACACCTGCTCCTTGAGCAGCGACATTGCTATCTGCAAGGACAGACCTCCATAAATCGGGTTGACGGGCCCAAAGGTCAAAGCAAGGATCCGTCGGAGAGCCAGAAAGAGAAAAAGATTTATTTAATTCCTCATAAGCACCTAGACGAGCCTTCCAAACTTTGTGTGTAATTCTCGTTTCCAAAGGTAACTTTGTATAATCTTCTTCTTGATCCTGACTCATTATGGATTAAAAAAATGAATGAACGAAGGTACAGATAAAAACAAAGCAAAGAAGACTAATAATCTAAGTTAAGAAGTGAAAGGCACGGTTCACTTCAAATGAATCTGGCGTAAGGGAAACAATAAATAAAGGATTGAGAAGCAGTTTTCGTAGATATCAGAAAAGTAGAGGCTTTAATTTAATTAAACTTTTATACATAAGTATTGGTTGTATAATAGTAACTGAGTTAAAACGAAAGAATTCAGTTAAACCACTTTCTTCTAGAAATTCATTCAAATTAAATGGCGATCTTTTTTTTTTTTTACGAACCTTTTCTTTTAAGAATAAAATTCAAGTTCTTAGTCTTATGGTTCGCTCTTTTTACTCTAAATTAGTAATGGTTTGGAGTAGGTTAGGAGAAAGCATTTCATACTTGGTGTACAACATGGGTACAAAATAGAAAACAGCGAGAAAAGTTCAAAAATGTACCTAAATAGCCAACTGTCGACTGTCCTATAAAAAGTATACATTAAAACCACTTTACTTTACCCTACTTTTATTTTATTTTACGGCTTTGTATTGTTGAAGCAACTTAAGACTCTTTATAAAAACATTGAAAGTAAATAACCGAATTCAACTTCATTTTCATATGATAAACACTAATGAAAAACAACCTTCACTTGTTAAAGTACTCATGATAATATAAATCTAGTACCTTTTGGTTCAGTTACTAAACTTAGGTTAATAAACAACTATCTTAGTCATAAGCTGAAAAACCAAAAACCCAAACTCCAAATCGATAGTTACTAGTCATCTCGCAACTCCATATTAGAAAAATCAAGATGATCAAAGTAATTTTTTTTTCCATATACATTTCAGAGGTAACCAACATTATTCAAGAACACGTATTTTTATTGTTAAAGAAAGATCGCTCTTCCGGACTTATATTAATTATCTGGCGTTGTCCAAAATCAAAAACCCAATGACTCTATCGCGTCTTTTATATATTTTTTTAATTGAGCTGTACACGAAGCATGCGAATTGACGTGTCTTCGCCAGCTAATAACAAAGAGTACTCTCCCTCTTTTTCGTAAATTGGTCTCCAAGCAATTTTGTTTACTGGTTCCTTGGGAGACATTGTATCCGGCAACTTTAAAGGAGTCCATTTCGTTAGATTATCTTTAGGACACTTCCAGACATATGTTTTTCCTGATTCTGTACCGACTGCCAGTAAAAGATGATTATCATGAAAGAATGGAGCAATATCCAAGGCAGTTACAGCATCTGCAAATTGCAGACCTACTACGTCTTTAACCTTTTTATCATCCAAAATTTGCCAAAACTTAACCATCTTATCTCTTGAAGCTGTAGCAAATAAATAACCCATGTCCTTTGGTGCCCAAGCAGCATCCCATATAATACGGGAATGTGCTTTGATAACAACATACGGCAGATACTTCGATTCTGCCTGAGAAAATTCATGAATACAAACGAGTCGATCACGTCCTGCTGTCAACAAGTATTTATCATCATATGAAAACTTAATCGTTGTTACAGTTAATGAATGACCGGATAGCAATTGTTGCTGTTTCCAAACGTTTGTATCAAACAAACGGATCATTGCATGTTCAGGAGACTGGGATTTGCAGGAAGTTGCTATATAATCACCTCTATGCGAAACATCGCACGCAAAAACCTCGTAACCATGACCGTAAATTTTCTCAATTTCTGGAAAAAGCAGCAAACGCTGTAAATGCTCTTCAAATGGTGGATGGTGCAAAGAGTCAATCACGTCAATTAATGGAGTTTGAATTTCATCAGCATTAACAGTACCTGTCTCAGTAGCAGTGGTTGCTTTATTCGAAAGGCCCAAGAGAGGAACATTGGCGGCCTCCGGAAGCTTTTCCTCAAATATCTGAGTACGACAAAGACGCGATAACAATCTGGCAATCGTTTTTGGAAACTCAAAAACGCGTGTAACTTTTTCGTCAGCACAACTAATAAATCCAGTCCGTGTGGGTAAGCATTGGATTGAGGTTAAGTCGTAGCCATGAATTTGTGGTCGAGCCATCTCCCGCCATGTATTATCTTTTTCATAACAAGCATACAGACGAGTTGTTTGGTCTAAACTCACTGTAAAGAAGAATTGACCCTGGGGATCCCAAGCAATACCTTTGACAGGTTTGGTGTGTCCGGAGACACAGGGAAGTTGCTCCCAATCTTCTCCAGATTTATGCCATAATCTCCAGCCTCCTGTTCTTCCCCAGCAAGCGACAGCATTACCATCGGGGCTCCAAAATCCTCCCCAAAATCCACCAGCACTACCTGTTGCAGTAGTAGATCCGTGAGAGGACGCTATTTCACCCATGCGCCCGTTGGCTAACCATATACCAGTAGCTACATCCGGCTCCCACACTATTAACGAAGAATCAGCAGATGAAGATAAAATAATCTCTTCTTTAGGATGCCATTGTACGCTCATTATCCAATCTTCATGACCCATTAAGAGAGCATCAAAAACAATCTTATATTCCACTCCACCAAGCATGAAACGAATGGGCTTGTTGGATAATAAAGTTTCAGCAAATCTGATAAAATTAGTATACATTTCAAGGTAGTAAATAAACTTACTCATCTGAAACGACTTCATCTTTTTCTTCCCAAAGGGAAATTTTCCAAAGTCGCATATAACGATCTTGACTCCCAGAGACTAATGTAGCCATTGACTCAGAAGTTTGTCGAATAGATAGACTGCGAACCCAATCAAGATGCCCTGTTAAAACGGTTTTTAAACCAAAACTAAGAGATGTCCTATCGCTACCATAAACGGAAATTCGTTTGTTAGAGCCACAAACAACCAAAACAATTCCATCCTTAAACTTTATCATTTTTAGATCCATTGGGATTAGCTCTCCAGTATCAAATCGTGATGCTTCTTCCAGCATCTTCCCTGCTCCTTTCCACTGAAAGACCACACACTTGCTGTTTGTGCAACCAACTACAACCAAATCGCCATTGATGTTAAGGCTTTCAGGTGTACCATCCAAATTTATCGTTTGAAGAACATCAAAGGAGTCATTGCTGTCATTTTTCTCCCATACGCGAAGTGTCTTGTCCGACGATCCCGAAATAATCAATGATTTTTCAACATTCAGCTCCTGAATACAATTTACTCTTCCCGTATGAGCCGCTAATAAATACTGTATCTCCTTTTGCTATTTTTATATGTTAAACTTCTTAATTCCTTAATAAATTCTTTATTCTAAATCTTACAGGATCGGCAATCGCTATGAGTTTTTCAGCGCCATAAACTAATCCGAAATTGTTTGTCCATGTAGCTGCCTCTGAAATGCGGTTACATCCAGCATGAAGTGTTTCATACCGAAACATTGCAGTAAATAACTATTAGAATTGCTGTACACTTGGTTAAGTACAAACCCTTCAGTTGAACATTTTCTCGTTACTTACGAGTCAGGTAACATAAATAAAAGGCAATGAGAAGGATGAAATTGGGATTTACTTAAGATGAATACAGATTACATATCCAATCTCATAGTCTTTATTTTGTTTTGTTTGAACTTTATATACTTTTAAGTTTCTTCGTTTTCTTATACCATTTTCACAGATTATCAATTTTGGCTAATATAATATCCATTAAGGCTCATGTATCTTACAATATTATTAAACCTATGATTGCAAAACAGAAAAAAAAAAAAAAAAAAAAAAACCTAAACATCTAGAAAGCATTCCAATTTTAACCTTTGCTTTTTAGAAACACATTAACGGCTAAAGCCAAATAAATAAAATTTTGTCCCATCATTGATCATCGTCGTAAATAAAAAAAGGAAAGAATTAAACGATATCCCGTGAGTATGTAATATAGTTCTCATTCTAATTGCGAAACCATAATCCTAAAACGAATGAAGGAGAAAACCCATCCATATATGCACATTAAACGTCATGAACTTGAGTCACCATACAACTTTCCTTGGGAAGCTATCAAAGCCCTTTTTATCTTTCCTTCTTAGTACTCATCCTCATTCAAAACTATCAAAATTTGTCAAGACCATGTCTGTAAAAATATCACTCATTCTGATTAATGCACAGAGTAGAGTTACTGAGCAATTTGCGCGTAATGAGTGCATGTAAAATAATATAAAAGTAGCTCCTCAATCCTGCTATCCTTAAAATCTAACAAAAAGAACGGATTTGATTTTTATATAATACTGTGCAGAGGATCATCACGATTGTAATTCCTTAGCTGAAGGATTTGTCAAATTTGCTAAAATGCTTTTTGCTAACGACGCCTCAACCGATTCCTTCTTCTTGTTCTGAGGTAAAGAAATTTTTTGAGGATGATTGGCTGCTTTTAGCTGTGCTCGCAAAAAATCTTCATCCGTATTCATAGGGTCAATTTTCACGTTAGTACCAGTTTTCTCGCTATTTTTCATTTTAAGCAGCATTGATTTTGCCTTGGTAGCGATATCATCGGCTTCAGAAGTTAATTCAATGACATCTTCATCCTTTGCTGCTGAACCAAGCTCACTAACAGAATCTTCGTTAATTGATTCTTTACCAGCGCCTTCGGAGATTTGTTTACCTAACTCACTGAGAAGCGTATCATGAAGTTCTTGATCCGCATCATCCGATAACTGAGGAGTTTCATCAGCTAACGTTTCCGAACTATCAATGGCCCTTGATGATCCGATATCTGTATTAAGATCCTGATTCGAAACAAGTTCGTTGGTCTGTCCCGGAAGTTCCTTTCTATACTGTGCAACTATTGACGTTTTCTTACGCTCCATGATTAGCCTCTTAGATTCTTCAGTTCGTCTAGCTTGAGCTTCACGCTCGCGTTTTCTTGCATTATCATTTCTGACGTTACAGTATATTATATAGAATGAAGTTAGGTTCTTCAAAAAAGTGTTTCGAACAACCTCCACGTCTTTAAATTCACATAGATACTTAACAGTATCCTCTGTTAATTGCAAGAAATCACGTTTTAAAGCCATAAAGCCTTTTATCTTCTCTGAGGCCTTTTGGTACCATTCGTAAATAGCATCAATCACTTTGTCCTCTGGATGATGCTCCTCACGTTTCGACAAAGCACCTTTTTCAATTTCATTTTTAAAATGCAAAAAATGTTCGTAAGCAGACTCCATTTCGGATACTAATCCATCAATACCGTAAGAGCTAATAGACTGTATTTTTTTAAAAGTCGCTTCAGACTTCTCGTATTCTGGAAATTGGGTACGAATGATATCCTCAAAGTAATGTAAAAGAGTGTTAGAAAACGTGCAGTCTCGAAGTGTTTCCAATCTATAAACCATTGGCAAAGAGAATGCACGAGCTTTATCAAGAGGGTCATTTATATAGTTTCCCAGGTTAAGTAAAACTTGGAAAAATCCAGAAAAATATTCGTCTTCTAAAATTGACCTGCATACATCAATGACTTTTCTAACGTGGGCCTCAATATTTTCAAGCTCTGGTATGAAAGTCTCACGTAATCGTAAGCCATACATACGCTGTTGAAAATAATGTCTCAAGTTTACGATAAATAAAACAAAAAATCTCTCATAATATCCTAGTTCATTAACGTCATCTTTAGGCGGTGTACGCTTGTCCTCAGGTTTGCTGTAATCAGTCCAATAGGATGCAAAAGGAGATAAAAGTCCTTCTTGAGTAGCAAATCCAGATTTATGGAAAAATTGGATAGCAGGAGGTAGAAAGTTGGGATCAGTCAGAAACATTCGTACTAATTGTTCAGGTGTGAAATCTGAAACAGAACGCAACACGATTTCCAAATGTTGCTTAACATTTGGAGATAGAAGTGATGTGGTAGTAGCTTCTTTAGAGATAGCCTTTGTTTCAATTCTTCTAGTATTGTCAAACTTTTCATCTAAAATTTGTAACCAGCCGCTATTTAATAGAGTTCTTCCAATCGTTTCGAGGTCTATTGGGAACTTAACGAAAATATTGGATCCAGAGGGAGGTTCAACACGTTCCCAATGAACGCGCTTGAGCTGATTTTTAGGTTCGTAATAGTCTCTGAAGCTAGGTATTTTGGTATACTTTTCCACAGCTTCTCTTGCTCTTCTTTCCGCTTCCTCTCTTTGTTGTCTAGCCTTTTCTTCCTCTTCTTTCAACTCTTCTTCAGTTTTCACAGTGCCTTCCTTGGTGTCAGCCGGAGAAGTCTGTACTGGGGCTGTAGCCACGAATCTACCACCAGGTGTAACTCCTGGAGGAGGAGGAGGGGGGAGGAGGTGGTAAGCCCCCAGCTGCGGAAGGAGGTGCTGGTGGCGGTGGAGGACCTGCTGTAGCTGGCGGTACAACTACTTTCGAAACGCCCATGGTAGGAACCGGAGGAGGAGGAGGAGGAGGAGGAGGGGAAGGACCGAGTTGAGTTGTAGGGGCTAACGCAGGTTGCGCAAGGCTAGGAATATCGTTTTGTTGTAAAGTTGCTTCGTTTGACTCTTCCAAAGAAGAAATTTCTGACTCAGTTTCTGATTCTTGTTCGTCATTTTCCGGAGTAATATAATGTTCAGAATCTTCTAAGGTTGGAACAACACTATAAGCAAATTCTTTAGACATTGCGTCTAAAGAATCTTGAGAGGATGACCTTTTATACAATGGTCTTCCAGAAGGATAGCCATCATACAAATTTGTTTTTCCTGCAGTTTGAGCGGCTTCTAGTTGAGATTGTAGTTTACTATAAGCTTGTAATTGAGCTTTATAGCGGCCATCGAATTCACGTTGCATAGACGCCAAGAGTCTCTCTCTTTGATCTATTTCTTTTCGCAATTCATTTAGTTGACTTTTAAGGAATTGCATAGGATCACGAGGACCGACATTAAGCTGTGACAACAATGCATCCACCTGATCGTGCAAACGTTTGTTTTCCAAGAGTAACTCGCTCTGCCTGGTCTTATAATCAGATAATTCATCAGCTGTGCCCATGCGGTCAAGTAATCTTTGTGATACAATATTAAAACCGACGTTTGAGTCGATACGAGCGGATTTATATTCGTCGATTGCATTTAACGTAAACACTAAAAGATGCATGGATTTATCAATTTTCTCAAGATCCTTTTCGTTACCTAAGGATTGAAGTAGATTGTAGAAACTAGTTTGAGATTCATGATCTATTAAACGAGAACAAATTTTTTGAAACGCATTTAGCATTTGCGCCTGCTGGGGGGTGTCTTCAGGCAGCTGACCTTGGTTAACATTAGTAGGCTTTAAAGATGCGACTTCTGATTTCTCTTCGTTTGCAGAATTAGCAATAATGAACTTCCTATAAGACTGTGCATCAGAATTGTGTTCATTTAAAAGATTAACAACAACCGTGCGAACAGAAATGTTTTTCCAGCGCTGCATTATCTCCAACGTTTTGCCAAGCCCAGCATTCAAGAATTCACGGCGTATGTTACATCTTGAATGAAGATCAATGGTACATGAACATATACCACGTATTAGATTAAAGGTAACCACCAAATAATCAATCAAACAGTCCGTTCCTTGTAGGCTGGCAAGTTCATTTGTTGGTAATATTAGGTTATCGGCGTAACCCTGAATGCCAGATACAACATCATGTAAGGCGGTCATCCATCTGCTAAAACGAGTTTTGGACGCACCTTTTTCAACTAGCCACTCTAAGGCCTTTACGACGGATGACTGCCCATGTTCAAATTTTCGACTGCAAATAGCTTTCAAAATAAATGTTGAAATACGGCGAGCATTTAGGTTCTTGGAAAACATTGATTCAGCTAAAGTGCCGATGGCATTAAAGCCGGGAACAGCACATTTGGCAGACAAATAAAGGTGATTCCGGGCAATGTTGCTATTTAAGGAATGAAACAAAGATTGAATCAACAACACCTCTGCTTCAGTATTTGCATGACGTTCGGGAATGTGGCCCAAATTTCGTAAAGCCGTCAACAAGCTTTCAACACCATTTCTTTCAGCAAATTCATCAATCCACCAAACGGGCTGCATTTGTAATTGCAAATTCAACGCCACTAAATATTCCAGATTCACTGGTACTTCGACAGCCTTTTCAATGTAAAAGTCAATTCTTTTCAGAATGACGGCATACGTCTTTTCATCTAAAATCGTAACATCTTTGGTTAAAGGAGTATCGGGGCCATAATTTCCTAGCCTTTGTGAGGGATCTTGTATTTCCTTTACGACAGGAGGCTTTGGAAAAAGCCTATCGTCCATAGGATACTTTCTTCTTATTTCAGTTGCTTCCGCATAAAGCTTGTCAAAAACTTTAATTTTGTGACGATACACAATTCGGGAACACATATATTGCAAAGAATTGTCAGATTCTTGACCAATCGAAGCGATATCTTCGCGAGATTCATTCTCTGATTGTAATAGAATGTTGCTTAACCCATACTGCTCAGAAAGTGACATTGTCGAAGGAGTGGCCGAACGGTCTCCGTAGAATTGGGCATTCCAAGCATAATCTCTAGAATCAACTTCTGAAGGGTCTCGAAAAGAGTGTATGGACATTTTCAAAAACGACTAATAAATAAACAAACGGAATGGAAACAGCAAAAAGAAGGAAAGAGGGTAGGTAAATTAAGGATGTGAATCAACGAAAAAGACAATTCACTAGGGAGCTACGCCGGTAAGGATATAAACCAGAAAACAAAAGATCCCTTAGTAACTTAGCTTTAGCAGTAAAGTGGATGGACTAAAATGCGAGTTTGCCAAGCGAAGAAGGAATTGCTTCCCAGTTCAAAGGAAAGCGAAACCTGGACGTAGATAGAATGCCAATTATAATTAATGCCTTTAATAAATAAATATAGAGGATAAGAAAATAGTACGAAACAAAAAAAAATTATGGTAAGGAATACAACTGTACAATAATGATATATGGTAAAGGTAAAGTGACAACTCTGGGGAACCGAGCAGATATATGTGTACTCGCGCAAGTTACAGTATACATCGAATTCCTCCAAACCCTTTACAATCGATTAATTCAAGCTTTTTTAGTTCAATTTGGAGCATTAATTATATATTTTATATCGAATCCTATCAAATTCGCCCAAATTCGTCTAAATTTTGCATTCGATTGTTTGTTTACAAACTACGTAAAGTGATTTCAGTAAACTTATGAGTGTAAGCAAACAAACAACTTTCGGCAGCATCTAAGACATAATCAAGCTTAGAAAAACAAATAACAAAGAATGGTTAAGAACAACTAGCTCTCATTTTTTTAATCCTACTACTACTTCCAATGGTTAGCGTTGGTCGCTAGATTGTGCTATTATGAGAATCTGTAGTCTTACAGCTCTTGCGAAAAGAAAACACCTGGGTTATTTATTTAAGAGAATCGGAAATCATACCTATTATTCCATTTGGATTGTATTTATGAGTATAAATAAAGCATATTTGTCGTGAAACATGACAAGCAGGACGAACGAGTTTTTTGGATTTATTGAAAAAGGAAACGTGGACTTGGAAAACGTTTCTCTGCGAAAGCCCAAGCTTTCAAACGTTCAAGATGCTTTTCTCGCAGAAGCTTATTTAATCGTAAGTTGAATATTTGAAGCGAATTACGGTTGCACACTAGAGAGAGAGGTATTTGACCCTGGACATTATATAGCATAGAAAGGGTGTGTTCCCTTCTCTTTCTATAAGCAGGCAATTCCTTTTCTATATTAGGTGTTTATTCACCGCTAATTATTGTAGCACAATACGATTGTTCATCTTTGTACGTTTCTTGAGAAGATTCGTGGAGCATATTTGAAAGGTCGTACTGTTTCCAATGTTCACAAGTTGTCAAGGCCTTTGATGGAATGCTCTTTTGAGGAGCTTTCCAAGTTGGAGCTGAATGATTTACAGAGGGATGAAATTGACCATCAAGCATCAACAATTATCAACTCTTGCGTCCAGAAAATTAGCTCTCTTCAGCAGAAGTTGAAAGGTATTTGAACCAGCGTTACTGATCCATTCATAGTATTAACTGATACATCTAGAGAAACAATACCAGATTCCCAAACGGACGGGATGGTTGCAAAGCTTTAAGAGCCCTGAAAAACTTACGAAAACCGAAACCATAGTTGCTCATTATTCTTCTATCTTATGGTATCTGCAAAGTGAACTATCAGACGTCTCTTCCACTTTGTATCGACTTCAAGACCTGCGACTGAGGCGTGCTCAAGAAAGAAAGACGATCATGTCTGATATCTTGCATCCACAGCAAGCAAATGATATGTCAGTGGCAGAAATTCCTGATTCTGAGCTTCCAAATTATTTTAGCCAAGAGCAGCTAATGGAGTTAGAACAAGAAAATGATCTCTTGCTGCAAGAATTTGAGCATACGATGCAACAAGTGCATGAGACAGGAAAATCGTTAACTGAAATTGCTAGATTGCAGACAGAAATATCTACTCAACTTTCCGCTCAATCTACTATAGCGGAAAAGTTATATGATGATGCTATGAGTGTAGCTGATTCAATTACCGGTGGAAACCGTCAACTCATTCACGCTAAATCACGAAATAGTCGTACAGCTAGAATATTTTTTTTTCTTTTCACTATCCTTGGCTTACTCTTGCTGGCTCTGGACCGAATTGTCTAATATACCTCGCTTCCCTCTTACCTTTTCTCTGAACTACGTTGTTTATGTCCCAAAAATTCTGAATTCGGGTTTATGAGTTTTTTTATTCGCGTAACGAAAATCCTTTCATATGTGCTACTAATATGGTCCAAGTCATTTCTCTATCTAATTATTTCTTGGTTTACTTTCGCTAAAGCCAGCACTAATCCCCTCAAGCCACCTGTCATGATATTCCTAAAGGGCTTCTATGCGCTATTCTTTATGACTATGTAGTAGAAAACATGTATTATCTGACTCATTAGATAGATTTGTTTCAATGATTTTTTTCTTAACTCAACTTATTAAGTTATGCTGTTACTCATAAAATTGATCAAATTCAGCTTTCAATTCACAAAGTAATATATAAACCTAGAAATTTCCACCTTTATTGGTTTCTTTTTTTTACATTGAAAATATTATTATTCTCATATTTCTGAATGGTTGTAAGGCACTTTCTCCTCTTTCTTGGGAATCCATTCTGATTACTAAACAAGTATTGCAAGAAATCAAAATTTGGATAAAAGTGCAAATTCCAAGGAAAACTATTTGTTTCTTAAGATTATCAAGTCTCAGAAAATCAATCTTTCATTGTTGGTTGGGTTTTATTTGAGTTTTATGGATATTTGAAAAGGTCAATTTAAATTTTTTTTTCTATTGGCTTCCCATTTTTAGCTGTTAGTGATTCTTTATTTCTTACTTACAAATTGCACACATTGGGTTTTTTGAAGCGCTTGGCTTTTATTAGCCTTTTCTATCGTAGAATGTCGACGCAAACAAAAATTCGAACGGTGGATTCATCTTTAATAAAATTTAGCAAGCCAGAGGATCCTAAAGAGCACCCTTTCAATATTGCAAGGCTTTCAATTGAACCCTCAAGTACTTTGAGCGCTTTACAAGAAGCTGCCGAACTTCTAAAAAATACAAATGAGCCTGTAGCTTTCCCTACCGAAACCGTTTACGGTTTGGGTGCTGATGCGAGAAGAACAGAATCTGTTTACTCTATTTACAAGGCTAAAAATCGTCCAGCTGATAACCCTTTGATCGTGCACATTGCTTCTTTAGATCAGCTTCGTAGACTTATTTCGAAAAATCAGCCTCTGAATACACAAAACAAGGGTTTTTCAGATGACTCTTTGATTCCGCAAGTTTACGATCCATTGATAGATCGATTTTGGCCGGGACCTCTTTCTATTCTTCTACCTGTAAAAAATAATGAGCATCCACCAGTGTCACCAGTGGTCACAGCAAATCAACCTACTTTTGCCGTTAGGATGCCTGAACATCCTGTTGCTCTTGCCTTAATAGCTCTTGCTGATGTTCCTTTGGCCGCTCCGTCGGCAAACGCTTCTACTCGACCTTCGCCCACCCAGGCTAAACATGTATATAATGATCTGCAAGGGAAGATACCCCTAATCTTGGATGGCGGATCTTGCGGTGTCGGACTTGAAAGTACAGTAGTAAATGGTCTTTGTAATCCGCCTGTTATTCTACGACCAGGCGGTGTTAGTCTTGAACAAATTCGTGCTTGTGGAGGAATCTGGGTAAACACTCAAGTCTACAAACCTACCGCAATAAATATGGAAAAAAATTATATTCCTCAAACTCCAGGTATGAAATATCGACACTATTCCCCCACTGCAAAAGTTATGCTGTTCTTGGACTACAAAGAACATGAAGCGATGGATTGTTTATATGAACAGCTAAGACAACAAACTATGGATAAAGATGAAGCCAAAATTGGAGTTTTGTGTAGCAGAAAGTGGAAAAAGGAATCTTTTCAGGAATTCAGCAACTTGATTTTTCTTGATTTAGGACAAGAAGGTTCCGAAATAACGAAAAACTTGTTTGCTCACTTACGTGAGTTGGATTTACTAGGTGTAAATTTTGTTCTTGTGGAAGGTGTTACTGAAGATAATGAGGGATTGGCTATAATGAATCGTCTTTCTAAAGCTGCCTCCATGGTTTTTACTAAAGACTCTTCGGATTAGCCTCTGTTTTATGACTGTGAATAAATTATTTATATTTTTATTATAGATCTGTTTATAAATGGTATATAATGGAAGTTAACTTTTGACATGTGGATAACCCGCTGGATTCCTTTGACAAATTAGAATTTTGATACTTAACCATAATTTTTCAAAGTATAAAGGCATAGGGAATAAAAAAATAATTTTCAGAAGTTCATTAAAAATTGAGACACATTAATGGGATGAAGTTTCATCTTGATAGACAGAAAAATTATCTAATGGATCGACTTTGCGGGAGGACTGCGTGTGTAAAATTTCACCGACCCAAGCACGAGAAGGAATTGTATTTTCTTTTCTTTTTTGTTCCACAGTTCCAAAAGCTTCCCAGGAGGAGGGATTGCTGAATTTACCGTTCTGAGATTCAATAGCCTCAGCGTCTGAAAAAACAGAAAACTTTCTCGCTTCTGGAATAGAATCTTCATTGCTCCGGCTTTTTGGTTGAAGACTAGACGCTTGGTAAGTAGTTTGTAGAGGAGGATATTCGTTAGTTGGGCTCGTAGAAATAGTGTCAGGAGCATATATGACTCTACGATGGACAAATTGATGATAGCGTTCTTGAAACCGAGCGAAAGGTTTAGCTTTTCGAAGAAACCCTTTTTGATAGATTTCTTCGGCTTTTTTGTATGATCCTTTTGATTCATAGTAACTTGCAAATTCCTCATAATAAAGTGAAAAGTTCGTGCCTATTTCATGAAGAGACAAAAAAGAGAACAGTTCAGCAGGATCATCAACGTACTTTGCATATTGCATCCAAATACGAAGATAGCGTATATCGTTTTTGTAAACAGGCACTTTTATAAAATGTTGAGAACAGCGCTCTAACAAAGAAAGCAACCCGCTTTCAGTGGTATTGCCTTGGGGATAAGAGTTCAAAGTCCATTGAATGTAGTCAATCCAAATTTGTAAAGGATCCTCCTCTTCGTCTGACACTTGGAGTTTTTTCTCAAAGTTCGCTCTTTCCTCGTGTAGTTGGTTGCTGTATTTTTGCTCATGATCTTTAGAGAAAGCTTTGCTGATTGCTGAAGCGGAATGACCTTGTCTTCTCGGTTCGATATTCTCTTTCGAGTGCTCGATTATATCGATAGATGCTTGGTTTTGTTTCGATGTTGAATCCATTGTGTAGAATGCTTGATTTTTGACCAGTCTTTAATAAATTAATCGATATGGGATTTGAAAAAGGAAAGAAAGCAATTGATTATCATAAATAGACAGTTTCTCAATTATGATTAGAGAATGTGTAAGAAACCCGATATATTAGTGAAAGAATGAATAATACATTAGGCTGTAATACCTATTATATTCTTTTTATTTTGTTTGGTCTTTGTTTGGGATTGTGCCCCTATAAGATGAGCTTATTTGGGGGGGAGAGGTAAAAGGAAAAATGAGGTTTGGATTCATATCTGAGAGCAGTAAATATGGCCAGTTTGGATTCATATAATTTATTGTTTCTTGGTTAAAAACAGGCAGAAGTCTCAATGGAATTTGTATGTGTAATGTATAAAGATGGAACCCTTTAAACAACTCTCAATATTACACTTTCCTATGTGATTGTGTAAATGTTATTGTACATAACAAAATATAAAGAGTTTAAAAGTTTCTGTTGGATTGGTCGATAGCATGAAATGATTCTAATCTATTCTTTCAGTTGAAACGGCCAAAAGTGGTGTATAAACCTTTGCCCTGTTTTATATATAAATCTCGGCTATCATCTAAAGAATAAACAAGTTGACAGAAACAATTGAAAGCTGGATTTCATTAGAAGCCAAAACACACATTGATACTCTAAGTCATGAAAGAAGGTTGACGACTCCAAAGACCAGGAATGTCAAAACTTTATTAGAAGAAAATAATAAAAAAGCGTAAGAAATGTAGAAAGTCTCAGCACCCATCAGCTTATTGAGTCGGGTAGTAAAAGAATGCCAAAACAACAATGGCGTAAAGAGCAAGGAGCTGGACACCTTCAAGCCAATGAGAGGCTCCGTCTTGTATTAAGTAATTCACTAATAATACAGAAACGAAGAGAATCACTGTTTCTAGAGACTCAAAGTACAGCGTTAATGGCTGAGAAATGAACCAACCGACAATGACCAAGAAAGGAGCCAAAAACATAGAAATTTGGATACTAGAACCGATAGCAACGCCAAGAGCCAAATCCATTTGACCACGGTAAGATACAACAACTGCAGTGACATGTTCAGCGGCGTTAGCAACTACAGGGAGAATAATCAAACCGACGAAAGTCTTGGAGATGTTGATTTCTTCCACCAAGGCATCGATGGAACCAACAAGATAATCAGCACATAAAGATACAAAAACAGTAACTAAAGCTAGCACAAAAATAGAAGCATATAATCCAAGAACGGGTTCATGATCTTCGTCTTCTTCTGATTCATTAACATCTCTGCAGACATGCTTATGAGTTTTTAATTGGAAAACCAATAATAAAACATAAACAATTAGGACAATGATAGCTGTACCGCGAGAAATTTGAAGTAAAGCAGTTTCACTAGTCTTATTATCGGGAAGACTAAAGTGAAAGGTAGCAGGAATTATTATGCTGGCAGTAGACAAGGCAAGCATTGCAATCATTGTCTGAGCAACAGTAACGTTGAATCTAGCAATTTGGTGTCGAATTCCTGCAGTAATAAGGCACATACCAAATACCAGCAGCAAGTTGGACAAAATGGAGCCAAGCAACGAAGCTTGTACGATACGGGTTTCACCGCGTCTTAAAGCCAAAACACCGACAATGAGCTCGATTGCATTACCAAAACTGAAAGAAGTTAGCAGAGAAAAAGTATATAGAATTTCAAAAGAGCATTCTGGTAATGAACCTTTCGTAAAAACAAATCAACTTACCTAGCATTCAATAATCCGCCAAGAGTAGGACCACTGACAAACGCCAATTGTTCGGTAGCAAAGCTAAGGAGGGAAGAGAGAGGGACAATTGCTAGCATATTCAGAAAGAAGACATACTTTGCATTGCACTGAAACCATCCACTTAGAAGACCGATGGGGACAAACACTAATAGGAAATTAATGTAACTTGAGGCAAGAACGGATTTTGTGGTTACAATAGCATTGTGTCGGGCCATAGATTGATCGCGCTCGTCTCCAAGCAAAGGAAGACGTTCTCTGCGATCAGTAGAGTATTGAAATGAATTCATAGCTTCTAATCTAGTTTTAGCTATCTTTAACCTCTCAATCATCTCAGTAATGTCAGGAATTTGGGAGGGTGACCAATTTCCTAGACAGCAAAAATTTCTTGGATAAATTGATAAATATCAAGAAAATTAGACGCTACTTTTAATATTCAAGCCTAAAGTTTACTCGAACGTATTAGGAAAGTAAGTGTTTTGTACGAGATTTGACACTGCAAAAGAATAGGACAATCACTACGTCTTATAGGCAAAGTTTTACGTGGAGGGAACATGCTTTTTATGATGAATTTTTGTGTTGGAACATAAGAACGCATCAAAATAGAAAGAACGAAAGAAAAATTAAAAAGAAAATTAAAAAAAATCAATGCAACCGATATTCGAATAGATGGTTCTTTTATGTTTACGTCCTCCGTCATCACTAATTAAACAAACGAAGAAGTTTAAAAAACGAAAAAGTATCATAGTTTCATTTCATGATAGGAAGATCACGTTTCCAGCTGATTCACGTTGGGATTTACCAATGTCTCTGTATGATGGTTCAAGTTTAGGCAGCTATTTGAAGTTTATTGAGCCAATGCATATATACATGTAAAGACAAGCCAAAACCGTCTAGGCATAAGGCTGTGAAAAGCTATTAATCCACGCTGATGACACAGGAGTTTTTTACAGAAGCAGAATCCCTTGTTTACGTCGAGTAATTCGTCAAGCTGACAACGCTCGTATTTAAGGACTAAAGCATGTTCACAAAGTCTGCGTACTTGATGGTAACAAAAAGTTGTATGCTCTACCACTCTTCAAAAATTATGAATTGATCCGTACCAACACTGTGACCAACCTGCTGCTATCCAAGGTCGATGCAAGCTTTTCGTGTCTGCAAGCCTAAAGAGTAATAAATTCCAACCTTATGGATTGAACTGAAGGTAGCCATAATCTCATGAAATGCAATTGATATTATGGCCGTTTTTCATCAGTTATGGGAGATGGACATTACTTCAACCATGTCTTAAGCGCACTTGGAAATACAAAACTACCAGGAGCCTGAGAGTTCAAGAGGTTTGAAATTGTCGAATGCAGTACCAACGTCCCCAACAACTACGAGGTTTTCGTTAGGTCGTTGACCAACTCATGAAAAGCCAAACGAAAACTGATAATCCCTCATTTAAACCTTGTTTCCATGAAGTTTCTACCATCTAAAACTAAAGTCAACCTTTTCAAAATGTAATAATAGAATATATATTATATATAAAGCTTCTCTTACTCTAATAAAAACCTTTATCTTGTATTGGATTTTTTCTTGCTGCATAGATTTTTGGTGGAAACAACCATTTACGGTATTATACCACGATGCGTAATTGTCGAGCGTACAGCAATGTAGTGCCTTGTTGACGTCGACTTAAAGTAAGCTTTAGGGGGATTGGTGGTAAATTCAAGTTGGACTCAACCAACTGTACAGGATTCGAGTTCCTTTTTTCCCTTCATTCCTTCATTCCTTGTTTCATTGTTTAAAGGTGACTTGCTTCTTGTACTGGGATATTTAAGCAAGTTTTGGAATCTTACATTCGTATTTCAAGCGTATCTTCTTTCGCACCAATTTCTGAGACTTTCGAACATGGCTTATAAAGGGGATGAAGTGAAATTTAAAGGCATTCCTATGAAGTATATAGCGCTGGCATTGTTGACGATTCAAAACAGCGCTCTTATTTTGGTATGCATTGTGAATGGTTGAAGATGCTGGCGGATGAATGCTGTTGGGCATCATTGGTTTTCTATCTTTGTATTGATTTTGTTCGGGAATGTAGATATTAACTTTACATAATAGACCTTAAATTATTCGCGTGTTATGCCTGGTTATGAAGATAAGCGATATTTTACATCTACCGCCGTTTTGTTAAATGAGTTGATCAAGCTGATTGTATGTTTTATAGTTGGCTACTACCAATTCCGCAGAAATGTGGGCAGTGAAGCTCGCTTAAGAGCCTTTTTACCTCAAATCTTTGGTGGAGACAGTTGGAAACTTGGAATTCCTGCTTTCCTCTATACATGTCAAAACAACTTGCAGTATGTTGCAGCTGGTAACCTATCGGTTGCCATTTTCCAGGTGACTTATCAGTTAAAAATCCTTACTACCGCTATTTTCTCTGTCGTGTTGCTCCATCGCAAGCTCGGCCTTACAAAGTGGGTGTCTCTCTTCATCTTGACTGGTGGTATCGCTATCGTGCAGCTGCAAAACTTGGCTTCTGATAGTACATCACCGGCCTCTACGTACATGAATCCATTGACTGGATTTACAGCTGTTCTTTCTGCTTGCTTAATTAGTGGTCTAGCTGGCGTTTATTTTGAAAAGGTTTTGAAGGGTACGAATCCCTCTCTGTGGGTCCGTAACGTTCAACTTTCCTTCTTTTCTATTGTGCCTTGTATATTCACCATCCTCGTTAGCGACTACTCCAACATTGCTCAAAAAGGTTTCTTTTACGGTTACAATCCTGTCGTTTGGTTCGCTATCCTCCTTCAAGCGTTCGGTGGCATCATTGTTGCACTCTGTGTTGCTTTTGCTGATAACATTATGAAGAACTTTTCCACTAGTATCAGTATCATTTTGTCTTCTTTGGTGAGTGTTTACTTGTTGGATTTTAAGATCTCATTTGCCTTTGTTGTTGGAGTAGCGTTCGTCATTGCCGCCACGTTTCTATATACAAAGCCCGAGCAAAAACCGGTTGATCAAGGGAACTATATTCCTTTAACTACACAGGAGGCTGCTTCCGGTGACGCCGCCGAGTCCAACGTAACCAAGAATTAAGCGCAAAAAGCTCAAAAAAGGACTCAACAGTGATAATATTTTTATTTTTATTTTTTTTTGTTATAGTTTTCCAAACTTGGTTGTTTTCTTCTTTCCACTCAATTCTACTCTATTCGATTTCGGTTCACATTCTTTTTACAGGCTCTCTCAAAAACGCTTCATTTTAATTTACTCAACTAACTAGACTGTTTTCCCTTCTAATTTATGAAAACAGACTGTAGAAAATTACAGGAATGGTCTCTGTCTATAGCATTGTACATATGCTTTCATAATACCTAGTTAATAATTCTTTCAGCATTTTGATATATACTTGAGCGGTTAAAATCAAAATACTATTTATACGTATACTTGATATTTCATGAATCTTGTAAAGAAAGATTTTCTAAATAGCAGAACTTATTTTTTGGGCTAAATAATCATGTAAAGATACAACTTGTCTGAAGGGGAAAAGTCTTTTGGTTTCACCAAGAAAGTGATCTAAGAAACCGAAAAAAAAAAGAAAAAAATTATTCCATTTTCAATAACTACGCAGCCAACGACAGAAAAGCCTTGCTTTTCTTATGTTTCTTTATGCTCTTTGAAGGCAGGCTATTACGGCAATACCTTTTGTTTACCGTTTAAAGAAGCCCAACAGTTTCCAACGCTTGTTGGTAAAACCCGTGACTGCTAAAAAAGTAGTTATATAAGGCTATTAAATCACATACTTTTCTATAATGAACAACGCTTATTTAACAGTTACGAAGCAGGGCTGTTAACATATTGGATGATACAGAAATTACCTGTTAAATGTATACTGGAGATCAAACTTGAGACGGTTGGGTGAGATGTTTTTCGAACTAGTGGAATTCACCTCAATAACTGTTGCTACATAATTAATTAATTAATTAAGTAAAATTTAGAAAACTTTTAGGAAAATGAATAAAAAATACAATATACTGAATGTCTTTGTTATGTATAAGAAGTAGTCGAATTTAAGTAACTATATATTATACTGACTTTGTTTCATAATCATTTATAGCTATAATAATTTCATAAATTTTTACGAGCCATGAAAAGAAGAATAGAATAGTCTATAGAAAAGTCCCAATAAAGCACAAGGAGCTTTTGGTTGCCTTATTTGTGAATCAAAATAAAGGACGCTGTATAAAGAATCATGAATCATTCCGAGTTATTCAAGCTAATGAACGGTGTTATCGGCATCAACTGTGGAATATAAGAAAACGACGGATAGGAAAACGCATATACCGTTAATCAAGCTGTGAAGCTCTTTATAAGTGAGGATATTGTTTCAAACAATTTTTCGTATCATGTTGGAAATCGGTTATAAAAGAAAGGACAATAAGGTTGCCAAAATAAGGACGTTCTTGGTTGCTTTTTGACAAAAGATAGTGATAGAATTTGAAGGGATTCAAACTGTCAATCCTTAAAGCCAAGGACTCGGCAAAGATATATTATGTATAAAAAATGTAAGAAACAAGCTGCATTCACGAGAATTTTGTAATTATAAATTACTCATTCATGGGGACATCCTCATCTTCACCGCCTTCAACGGTACGGCGAGCATAAGCTTCTGCCTCTTGTAATAGATCGTCGGGGACAGCCGTATGGATGCCATTGGTTTCTTCACCAACCCAGGTCATTTCTATTTCGTGCTCTTTGTTATGCTCTTCGTCGTGGGTAGCGTATATACTACAAAAATGGTTAGCTAGCTGTAATCACCTAAGGATAACCAATCACGGAACTTAATACATACATCCTTGCTGCTTCTTTTACAGCATCTTTCATTTTCAATGTAGAAAAGTCTAACTTCTCCAGTTCATTACGAGCGATTTGTCGACCTTTGCCTGCTGAAATGCCGTTGTATCCCCAATACACGCCGTTAGGTTCAATCATGTACAAGTGGGGTCCGAGGTCATCATATGCAGCAACAAAAGACATAACACCAAAAGGACGTACACTTGAATAGCAAGTGAAAAGTTGAACGTAGTTGCCAAGTCGATCAGCCATAACCGGACCAGGAACGGCAGATCCGTAGTTATCACGCCAAGAATTAGCTTCATCTCTGGCACGTTTTACGATATGCTTTCCATCAGGAATGAATCCCGTAGTTGCAATACCAATATGACGACCGACAGATCCTATACGAGGATTGGCACGAGGTTTTAACAGCTTACTAATAACGATTTTCTCCAAAGCAAGAATCACACCGTCTTGGCATTTAATTCCAATGCAAGTACTGTAATGATTAGACGAATACTTTCTAAACCTCAAAAATCACTTACCTTCCATTCTCCACTGCTTTATACGCGTATTCGGCCTGAAACAGACGTCCATCCGGGGAAAAGAAAAGTCCCAAATCGTAACCTGTACCAATTGAACTCTAAAATGTGAGTAAAGTCGCTAAATTTATCCAACTTACCATTTGCTTATGTTATGCGTAGTTGGTGAAGGTACTTGAGAGTACCAGCTCCCAAGTCTACAGGGCAGTCACATAATATTATATAAGTATAGGGTGCACAGATTAAAACTTAGCATTTACCAATTGGAGAAGTTGTGTGAAATGAATGAGAATGCAAAAGAGTTAAGCTGAAAAAAATATGGTGGATGCAATGTACGATCGATGAGTTATCAAAGATATTGGTGAAATAAGTAATTTGAGGCTTCTGTCAGTGTAAGACAGACTGGATTTTATTTCTCCATTTAGTTGAGAAAGATCAAAAGATGGAACCTGCAGAAAAGAACCATGCCGGGCGTACGGACAAACGCCGCACTTCCTCAAATTCAAACGCACTGTTTACAAGTGTTTTAGCGCATTGAGGGGGTAAGGTCGGAGGAACTTCTTCGTTGCATGCTCGTGAGGAGCGGAGGACGAAAGTCCTGCCGGGTGTACCAGAAATTCGATTTCATAGGCATGTTCTGTGAGATCCTGAAACGCACCCGAGAAGATGTCTTTTAGTGCAATGTGCGGCACCTGACGAAAGTCAGGCAACTCGATTCCGACTAATCTTGTCTGTATGTCTGGTATGATTCATTTCTGTGGGTCGAATAAGAGTAGCTGCGCCCGTGATACATAGGTATAGTTTAATGAGGAACATAGAAAAGGGTAGAAAGGATGTAATGTCACGATTCGTTGCTCACTTGATTCTTATTTTCATTGCAAAGTTTCTGACTGAAGCATACAAAATTACTATAATGTTTCATTATTGGAACTTACACAATATTGTTGTTGGTGTCAAAAATAAAAAGATGCACGTATATTTTGGGTAATAATAAAATTTTCTTGTGTAAGTTTCGAAATTTGGTAGAGCTAGTTTGTAAATTGTCATATGGAAGTAGTAAGCGATGAGTGAAGTCTTAAATCTTATAACACAGGTACATACCATATCTACTTATACGTTAAGAGCCTATTTCGGATGAATAACAGTCAAAAATAAGTTTTTGAAGGACGGTCTATAATTGAACAGGTTTTAAGCAGCTAAAGGTAGGGTTGCAAAGCATTGACCGTAGTTTCAAAGACAGTATCAGGGTCATGCTCAGCGTTGATAGTGATACAACGATTGTCGTTTTTCAAGGCATTGACAACAGGCATGGAAGTCTCGGTAAAAGTAACGAAACGCTTCTTGATGGATTCGGCATTATCATCATCTCGACCACTGGTCTTGCCGCGATCCATTAAGCGGCCCAACATAATTTCCTGATCACAGTAGAAGAAAAGAGCTACAGTAGCAGGGCAAATGGCGCGTTCGAATCCTTCGAATTGGTCCATTTTACGTGGGAAACCGTCAATCAAAAAGGTATTGATGCCCTGAAGGCTATAAGACTTCATTTTAGCTTCCAAAAGACGCAAGGTGATTTCCATAGGTACGATTTTACCCTCTGTAATGTATTCTTTAATGAGTTTGCCATCATTACTATCAGGACGGGCTTGTTCCTCGCGAAGGCAATCACCAGCAGAGATGTGAGCACAGCCAAGCTCTGTCGTCAAACGGTCACATTGGGTTCCCTTACCAGCTCCAGGACCACCCAAAACAAAGATTACTTTATACATGATGATGCGCTATAAGGGTTTCTGAAGTAGCAGTTAGCATAGCAGACACAGGCATAATGAGCTGGCAAATAAGATAGGATAAGTCACGTGAAACCGACGGAATGCGCGAACTCCAGATGTTGTCAACTTTGAATAATGCATGTTATGACCACTCTTAGGTATAAAAAAAAAACGCGTAACAAGTTAAACGTGACGGAAATATTGCAAACAAGCATCGCTTTCTACATGTAGCTACATAGTAAATCTCGAATAGATGCCGCTCTCAATGCGCGTTTAATGGACAACTTACGTTTCTTACAGAAGATGAAAATGAGAGAAAAGGATGCCAGAAAAAGTAACAGAATAGAATATATGTACAGACCTAGGGAAGACCAAAAACCAAAGGCCAAACTCTCGTCTAATACTTGCCGTTTGGATGTATGCTGTTTGTAAGCTGTTTCACTCTGGTATATGGAAGCTGCTCCAGCAGACCATTGTCTTCGGGACGGCCGGGGTACCTCCTCGGATATTCCGAGAAGTCGGTCATCAATTGTAGAAAAGAGGGCTTCGTGAAGAGGTAAATAAATGCAATATGCAAGATGTTGTTTCACAGAAAATCCCTATGGAGAATGAAATGCAGAAAGGAAAGCATTCATACGAAAATCACTACAAAATGTACAAGTTTCTAAGTAATTTAATATGCTTAACAGAAGGGATTCTATTTTTGTCTTTTATGAACCATTCAATCTGATCCCTTTGCTATGTTTAATAGACAAGCTAATCTGGTTTCTGAGTGAGCGCTATTAATATGGATGGAAACAATGACGGTACAAGTAAAAACGGACCTATCCATTAGTTTGTTTGTTTACTTGTTTATTTTGATAAGGAACGGAAGGCGGAAATTAGATATGGTTGGAGATGACCGCTGATACATCACAAAGATTCCTTTCCCTGTAAAGAAAATTTCACTACTATGATTTGAAAAGATCATAAACAAACGATATGAAGAATGAGCGGATGAATGGAAGAATAAATCTTGTTAAACAGCTGGATTCCTCTTCAGAAAAGTACACACTCCTCTTTTTCTATGAATTCTTTGTTTCTGTTTTCATAAAATTCCTTAACCGACTATTTGGTGGTCGGGGCGACTGCTTTATGATTGGCTTATGTGACCATCTTAAGTTGCTGATTCAATAGAGATGGTTCTATTGTTCTTTTTTATCTCTACTGAAACGAACCAATTACATTAAAATATTGGTTTGCTCTTATATCATCCTTGATGTAAACAATTTCAATGGCTAATAAGTACATAACCCCGCGAAATCGTGCCTCGCTTCAAAGAAACGTGCTTTCATCCAACCAATCGTGTTGTCATTAGGTTTATCCCATAAAAACACGAAATGAGGATTTCATGTAAACAAAGAAATTGGCAAGTCCATAATCATCCCAGAAAGGAAACTCATGGATTTCATGATGATATATATAGGGCCCGCTTTATTTCTAATTAACCAGAACACATTCAAGTTTTCTCTTCTCTTTATAACTTGTTTATATTTGCAAATCTCTTTTTTTGCATTAATCCTTTCGACGAGTTGAACTTTTGGACCTTGTAAAACGCTCTTTACGCATTCTATTTTTTGATTTTAATTTCTTTTCTTCTGAAACTCTTTCTTTTTTGCTTGACTTTTTTTTCTTGAGTAATATTCTTTCATTTTTTCTTTCCGATATGAAATTCTTTTCTCTTGTTGCTCTTCTTTTTGCTTTAGCCTCTGCTGCTCCGATACCTACTCCTGCTGGGGGCTCTGATGCCAATTCTGTGGTACCCTCTAACGATCAATTGCCTGCCAAGACTTATGAAGACTTCCTACGTGTTTATAAGAACTGGTGGAGCTTCCAAAACCCTGACCGACCAGACTTGAAGAAGCGTGAAGTTCCTGAATTTCCTGCCAAGACTTATGAAGACTTCCTTCGTGTCTATAAGAACTGGTGGAGTTTCCAGAACCCTGACCGACCAGACTTGAAGAAGCGTGAAAGCTCTGAAGTTAAGGAACCTGTTCTAAAGACTGATAAGGACAAGGAGGATTACCATCATTTCTTAGAATTCTATGTCATGAACGTTCCCTTCAATTCTACCGCGGCACAGACGAACATTACTGCTCATTTTGAAGATTGATGCATTATTGAGACGAATTTTCTTTTACCCATGCTTGTTAGCAACAATCTATACTTGCAGTGAAAATGTTAATTTTAGCTGCCCTTAATTTCCTCTGAGGAACCTAATGCTTTTCTAATTAGTAGTTATTTATAAGGTAATTGCCTATAATTTATGCAAATGAATACAGAGACTCTAATTTTTTTTATTTTGTCGGTTTTCAACGAAAAATTGTTAAACGTTATTTGTAAACACGTAGCCAACTTTAGATTGTGAGTTGAAAAGAAATCTCTTATAATACTCCAGTATTGAATTGATCAAATGGGTTCATCGAAGGCTTGTAGATTGCTCAATTATCCATTGTGTCAACATAAGAGCCCATTTACTCTGACTGGAATTTAACAGCTTTCGGGAAACTGCATGTATGAAGTTAGCATATTTCATCCAGGTTAAACAAAAAAAAATCACATCCTTAATGAATCTGTTGATTTAAAGTCAAATACAAGCCATCAAGTTACAGTTATCGACGAAATTATACGGCATCGTACTTGAAGTATAGGAATTGCTGGAATTCTAGCAAACTTTCTTATGCTAGTATTGTTTGATTACTAAGCACATGGATTTGTTCAGTCATAATTTTTTTGTCAATTGCGGCCCAAATTCGAATGTGGATATTCTGTCTTGACTCAACCGTTCTTTTCAGAAGCTTTTACGGAAGACATGTGAATATCTTTTCACAAAGAGGTAACTTCGTCCTATGTGTCGTTTCCTCCGTATTGCCTTCTTTTAATTTGTAAGGCTCAATCATATGAATCCATGGTGTGGAAAAATTCATCTCCCTTATCGAGAACCCTAAGACTAAAATCATCTTTCATGATATATATTTCTTTCCATAATATTTTAAGTATTATGGTTTAGCATAAAGTGGAGTACAGCATTCGCAGTCGTTTCAAGGCAACAAAAATATGTAACTGGAAAACCATGAGCTTTGTGCTTACCGCTTAGATAGTTTTCTTAGAGTTTCATTTCTGTTAACCAGGAAGACAAGCAAAGCCCTTTAGGAGTCAAGAACGTATGTATGGGTTTAGCTTTTCAGAACCTGCGCAAGTCTTTCCCAAGTTAAAAACCCATCAAACCAATTCAATTAAATTAGGCGAGAATACTCTATAAATGTTTTCGTAAATCAGGGGACCCTACCTGAAGGAAAACAGACGACGACCATGTCTATTTTGTCAAGAATAGTCGTTATCAATTTCATCAAAGGTAACCAAAATGGCATTCTATGCTTACCTAAAAGATTTGAGTTGTTGCTAGCTTTTTCAAGAGCGCATGCGAAACACAAATGTCTGTACAAGTTTTTCCTTCCGGAAGAGAAAGCGATTCAACTTCATATATTTGAGATTTTTTTCCCTTTAATATTATTGATAATTTATAAAGTAAACCTCTAACAGGGTCCCCTTCTATTAAGACGTCCATTTCCTCAGGTTTCGTGTTTCAATCGTTGCCTCTCCGTATTCCCAGGAATTCACGATTTCTAGTAATACCTCTCATTTTCAGCTTTCAATTCTAAAAACCTGGTATCCTAAAAAGGATTTCGTTTTCTTTAACTCATATATTCAGAAAAGTCCCCGATTGTGTGTATTTCTGATTTTTGAAATAGTCCGCTATGGTTTATATTTTGGGTGTGCCTATTAAAGATGAGCGGCCGGTAAAGTATGCTCTGTTAGGTTTCTATGGAATTGGAAGAGCTGTTGCTGAGAATATATGTGCCAAGCTTTCGTTTCATGATACATTGAAAGTAAAAGACCTCAGTGACAGTCAACAAACTGGTCTCTCACAATTGCTATCCAATATGACCATTGAAGGAGACTTGAAGCGACAAAGAGACGCCAATATTTCTCGATACTATAATATCCGTTCTTATCGAGGTTTGCGACATGCTGCTGGGTAAGTTTTTGGTCTTCCTAGAAGCTATTCATACTAATATACCGAATATAGATTGCCAGTAAATGGACAAAACACAAGAACCAATGCCAAAACCTCAAAGAAACTAAACCGCCTTCAAAGAAGAAGTTACAGTACTAGTTCGATAGGAACATTAGGATGGAATCGTGTGCTCCCAACTGCTGTTTCAATTCTTCAGAAAATCAAACATATTCGTTAGAGAAATTGATTATCCAGAATGACTGACTGTACGTGAATAGCTTAATCTGAAATATCTCCCATCTCTTTTACATTTGTCCCAACGTATATACTTTTATTTTCTTTAACATAATGATTTTTTCAATAAAATTACTATGCACTAACCACCAGAGAAAAACCTATCAATTGCTCTTTCGAGACGCAAAGAACTTGAATGCATTCAATTCATTCAAAAAATTAACCATTACATTTTGTTAAAGTAATATACAGTTTATCATAGCAAAGTCATATAAAGGTCTATCTTTGTTGAAACGGCTGAATCTGCTCCGCTGCCAACCTTGGAGAATTTGGATAATCCAACCGATTTGGCAATCGAGGAACAGCTCTTGAAGGGACTGGAGAAGTGCCTGTTGAGGATGTAGCACTAGAATTCTGAGAAACTGCTGCTTGATATGCTGCCAATTGGTGCTGAGGTGTTCCAGATATAGGGGCTCCTGGCCTCATCTTGGTCTGATTTTGATGTTGCATATATAGGTTTGCATTTCTTTGAGATTGAACTTGCTGAATCTGTGCTTCACGCTCGAATTTTAATCTGGAAAGTTCAATCGGAGAAGGTACCGGAGGTAAACGCTCAGAGGAAGTAGAGACATTAGCATTCTGCCGTTTAGTAGCGGTTTTTTGAGCAAATTCTCGTTGCTTAAGTATTTTTTTGATAGCTTCAAATATAGCTATAGGGCGGTATTGACGAGATACGGTCGGTAATACAAAGTAAGAACTTTGATTTAATAGGTGAGGTACAGGAGTAGTAGAGTCACGCATATGTATATTTTGCATTGATTGATGTGATCTCTGCAGTGATTCCTCTAATTTTTGTTGTGCTAATCTTGCGTGAGATCCTGTAAATTGAACATTCGCAGCTTGAGGATCAATTCGAATCCACCTCTCAAAGCAATCCCAAGCAGTTCTTCTTTCTGTTTTAGACACGTATAACCCAGACGGAGTTAGTCGACTCGCTATAAATTCCCAATTGAAGGAATACTGTCTTAGTAGTAAAAGAAGCAGTTCATCCTCTTCTGGCAACCAAATAACCTCGGAAGTGTTTTCTGTTGCCAAAGGAGGATACGGAGGGCGCACAGTGAATGGTGCGAATGCTCGTTTTTTATTTGTGTTTCCCCCTCGAAATTCAGAATTGAGGTCGATATCTTCAAAAGCCTCATCGTTCTTGCTTTGATCTCCAGATCGGTGAGGAACAGTATCGCGTTCACTGAATAATCTTTTCCGCTCAGTGTGTATACAACTAGATTTAAGTCTCGTTTTAGCTAAAGCGAATCTGGAAATTGGTTCTATGGGATATGTAATTGCTGAGGTGCGCAACTGATTTTCAGTAGCGTTAGGTGGATTGTAGGTTGGAACATTCAAAATAGAGTTGCGAGATTCTTCAACATTGGTAGTAGCAATGACATCGTCCGAAAAAATAGTGCTACAAAAGTCTGTATCTCGAAGGGGAGACGACGACTGTAAAGCATTATACTGATCCTGCATCATACTCGCGGAATCAGGAGAAGGGTAATTTGATACTGAAGACATACTGTTCTTTCTGCTTCCATTATATAAGTATGGCTTTTTGTTTTTAGATAAAGAAGACGGGGTACATACGGTACTTTTATCAGATGTTGTATGATAGTCCATGACTGAATCAACCATTTGTTTTGCCAATACAATTTTCCAACGTCTTTCCTGAGAAAAGTCAATAGACATCCACTGCATTTCATCAAGTATATAATCATGATGCGTTTTCGTTGAAACCATTTCTTTTTGTCGTTTCGGCTGGCGAAACGACCAAGTTCCTTTTTCTTTGGCATTGAACACACTGCGGATAGACTCCCTAACTATTTTCTCTCTATAAGCGTGCATCCAGTTATTAGTAGAAACATACTTGTAAGCGTTCTCAAGATCATCATGTAAGGGTATCATTTCTGTGCGAAGTAGCCAAGCATCTAAAGTATCTTCCGGTTTCCTCTGAACAGAGAGTTCTGAGGGAGGAAGTAATGAAAATGGAAGAGAGATTGATAATTGAAATAGAGGTTTCGAGGAAGTGAAAGCTTCAGGCAACATTTTAACACCTTCAGACTTCTTCTGAGACTCACTTTTTGGTGCTTCTTGGGCAAATGGTTTCTCCGTAGTAGATAGTGGAATTGGCGGCGAATTTCTTTGTTCTGCTTCATCATTTGAAGGAATCAAAGAATCTACTTGTTGTACTCGCTGATCAACTGCTTCAGCTTCAGGCTTTTCGTTGTTCGCGATAATAGAACTTGGATCTGTTTCTTCAATAACTTGCTTTGTTACTTCTCCAACACTCTCCTCTTCACGAGAAGCTTCAGTTGTATCTTGAGATATCTCATGGCTAGGCTCAGTGGGAGACTTGCAAACGACTGTTTGTTCTATGGTCTCTGTATCTCCTACTTTGTCAGTCACTGAAGTTTCAGGTTGTATTTGGATAGTTTCTAAACCAACATCAGCATTAGAAACTAAATTCGGCCGCTCATTGCTTTTCTGCTCTTTGGTAAGTTGCAGGGCAGCATATTCGCTATCCGGCGTCTGAGGTCTTTTCGTTGGAGAAGTTGAAGGCCTATTTGCATTTTCTTCCTCCACAATAGTTCCTGTTTCCCTTAAGTTTTCTTGTGTTTCTTGATCTACCACTCCTTCCTCGTGTTGTATTGCATCTTTCTCAGGCAAGGTTGGTTGGATAGTCTCCTTTTCAGAAATATAACTAGGTAGATCAATTTCGGGCTTTTCTGCTACGTCAACTTCTTCGTCTTCGTATTCTTGTGATCCTTCATTAACAGGTGGCTCCGTTACCGATTCAGAAGGAGCAGTAGGGGAAGCTGGAGGTAAAACCTGTTCCGCATGTATAGGTTGAACTGAATCGAGAATGGATGAATCCAAGCTTGATTTACTAAATAAAATATTAATAAAGTCACTCGATGCAAGAACCCAGCTTATTAAAATGATTATTTTAAGAATGATTCTAATGACCATGTATCAACATACCTGAGTAAAGGATTTCTTTCAAAGAACTCATGCCATTCTTTAAGATAATCAGTTTGTATTTCATGATCAGTTAGAATCTGGCCTAAACCATCCGGAAATTTAGTATTTAACCACAAGAGTAGTAAAAGTTTTTTATATTTCCGGTGCAACGCAAGCACGGCACTGTCTGATCTATTTTCATTTTCAGGTATCTCTTCACTCTTAAATAAAGAATCTATGGATTGCATTCTCTCTCCATTGGGAGTACTCTGCCTTGAACTGAAATCTTGCGGTGTTCCGTTTAATGAAGCGTCAAGCTCGACAGACTTCTAATATATGTTAGTATATATTTATTTCTGAATAAAATGCTACAAAAAATCCTCAATAGGCAAACTTACCCCTTCCATATCATCCTATGAAAAAATTTTCATGCAAGATACAAAAGCAAAGATCACTCGATGCTCAAATAAATAGTTTGTAACAGTATTCAAGGATTTTGACAGACAAACGATTTTAGACTCCTTCACAATATTGGAAGAATGTTTTCTTTATCCTGGTGGTGGTCAAACTTAGGTTCTCAACGATTTAACTTACCTTTCACCAATTCAGTTGAATGTGAGAAGCCCTGCTAATATTTATGAGCCTAAAATAATTTCTTTGAATGCTTAATAATTATATATTGAATTGGAGGGTTTTTCTGCGCTATAGTTGGCTTGAAAGCGTAAACTGAACAGCATCAATAATACGAACTTCAAACGCAATCCCAACTTGGAAGATTACGCTTGTCTTCAGCGTTTTATCTGCACTCATTCTGAAATTATTGTCCTTGCATCCTAATTTAATTTCGGGGAGCTTCTAATAAGAAGCATTTTGTCTAACAAAGCTGACAGGGGCCTTTGTAAATTTACTTAATTATTTGATTTCCCATAATTTATTTATTTATTGCATTTTTTTCGTCTTTTGTTCGTTTTACTGTGTTGTCCATTTATTTGTGCGATCATCAAACCGGTTTATTGACGACCTCTTCTGTTATTATTAGCTTGAAAAGCCTTACTTTTGTTTTATTCTTACGCTTAGACTTCTTGGCTTTTTAGGTTATTAAGGTCAATTCACCCTCTCTTCAGTAAGCAAATGAAATATCTAGTCCATTTCATTTCGCATTTGGCACTACCAGGAGCATTCAATTTTATTTACTCTTCTTCCCCTTGATATTGTTGTTGTTTCCGATTTATGCTTTTGCTTTGCAACTTATTCTTGGATTTTGTCTTTCATTTCCTTCCTTTTCTTGTCAGTTCAGCGTCTTTGTGTAATACATTGACTATAAAATTTCTATCTTCTATTCTTGGGTGGATCTTAGTTTGTCTAACTCTTTTCTTTCATCTCTTCATTCGTTTTAAATATGTATTGGATTCAATGCATTACCGTCCCTCTGTTGTTTTTATGGATAAAATCCGTAATTGCCTATCACGATGTGGACGAAGGTATTGTTGCCTTGGATGTTGTTCCGAGGAGTGTGGAATTTTCGTCCGCAAATCCTCACTTACAAAAACGCTATTCAGTTTTTGGTTCTGATATGTCCACTTTTCCATTGACTCTTCAAAGTTATGCGTATTACACCACTACGCTGTATATAGGTCATCCTGCAATTCCATATATTGTGGCTGTCGACCTTGACATGCCATACACTTGGCTCACATACTACGATGTGTTATCATTCAATCCAACTTTTTTAGGAATCGATGTTGATGGTTCCCAATGGGGTAGTGAGGAACTTCGGTACTTCCTTTGCGACGCCAATCCAAGTGACTCTTGCTATACCGGTAATTCTTCATTGGGTTTTTCCTTTGTGAATGAACCCAAGACGTATTTAATCAAATATGATGATAACATCACGGTTGCTGGAGTTAACGTTCAAGACTCTTTAGTGTACAACCATTACCATGAACTTAGTAACTTTCAGTTTGGGATTACATTGAAGGAGTACGTTCCCAGTTCTTTATTACCATACAAAGGTGTTCTGGGGTTGGCTGCTTCTTCTGAAATTAATAGTATAGACTTCGTGGATTCTATTTCGAGATTCAAACCACCTACGTTTTTGGATCAGTTAGTAGACAGTGATATTTTAAGTACGCCGTCCTTCAGTTTAACATTTGATACAACCGGAAACGGGACACTTATTTTAGGTGGTGTAGACGGAACAAAGTATAGCGGAGCTTTGGTTACACACCGGCAGACACGAACCCGTCATTATTCAACTACTCTGTACTCCTTGCAGTACGTGAATTCAACGTTTGCTTCGAACTTTTCGCTAGTGGTAGATGCGCTTCTCCAAACTCGAGAACTATTTATTTATCTACCTTATGACATTTCGTATGCTTTAACTGATCTTATGGGAGGTTTTGTTGCGTATGACTACCTTGCAGTTTCCTGTGACAGCATCGACGACAACAGTGGTATCAACCTTCAATTTGGTTGTAATTCGACAATTTTCATTAAAACTTCAATGCTGATTGTTGGAACTATTGATGATATATGTGTTTTAGGTATCCGGCCGACATCATCATCGCAGGCTGTGTTAGGATTGGCTTTTTTTCGAAATGCATATACTGTATTCCACCAAAAGGCAAAAACTATATCCATTGCTCAGGCCTATCATAATATGAGCACAAACTTCACTGCAATCTTGAGTGAATCTGTTCCTGGAGCAAGTATGTGCAGCCAGGTCCCCACAAGTACCAAACTATCAGAATTGGTAGAAACAACCCATTTCTCTCCAGCTTCCAAGAAAGTTAATTCGATAACCTATGGAGAACTTTTTCGACATAATGTGTCGGTAGAAGCTACAGGTTTACCTGCTTACAATATATCTTCCATGAGAGCGACTATGATAGAGCATCATAGTTTCTCTCCGAACAACAAAGTTTCTTGGATGTTTTTATGTGTTCCTACCATCTTATCAATAATACTATTATTTGCAACTTAGAAAATCAAGATATGTAGAAAGCAGTAAATGAAGAGTGGTAATGAATCATCGTGTTTCTCACTTTAAATGAGTATAAAAGGGGAAAATCGTTTATTTACAGATGAATCTAGTAGTTACAAACTAAGAAAAATTATTTTTATTTTGCATAACGTGCAAGAAAGAGGAAAAGGAATGCACGGATAGGATACAATGACTCAGTGAAGAGCTGATAAAGAATGTAAATAAAAAAGAAATAAAAGGGATAGATAATTACAAGTACATTCATAAGAAAAGAGATATTTGCTCAAACGAAACGTTCATTTGCGCCCATATGGTCACTTAAACCTAAGGCGACAAGAGACCGTTCAATGTAGGCACCAATTTTCTTGTACATTTGACGCAAGACATTGGATGCACGGACTTGATGATGGCTTGAGGAAACAGGATAGGAAGAGGTCTCAGAAGAATCGGTAGCTATGGTGGTGGGCAAAGCATTATCAGCAGCGGTGAACGACACAAAGATTCCAATAGGAACCGACCAAACGCAAATTCCCATAAACGAGGCTACCTGAGAAAAGGTGGCACGGTATGTTGCCACTCTTTGACCAAGAAAGTCGTAAGTGACGCCCCGTGGACGACCCGGAAACTCGTGTGTTTGAAAGAATCGAACCCACAAGAGGTGATTGATAATAATCAACGCACAAGCCAATAAAAACCGTAGACGACGGAAAGAAAAGAATGGGAATGTATCAAAATTAAGCTTGTAGACGTAGTTACTGAAGATGGAGAAAGCAGAAAGCCAAAAGGGAAAGCCGTCAAGCAAAGTGAGTAGGACTAATGTACCCATGATAAAGTAAACCAACCGTGTCAAAAAGGCTTTAGCAAGCTTTGTATGCTCTTCTATGAACTCCGATACATAATACAAAGCAGAAGCAATGCTAAGGGTTAATCCAACAAATCCCAAAATAGCGCCCAAGTATGATAAGCAGTTTAAAATTAGCATTTTCTGCAAGCAATGAAAAAAATTCTGAATTGTTGGTTGCCTTTTATGTACTCGACGTTGTAAGGATGAAGAACTTCAAATAGCACCTACTTCTCTATTGACAATCGCCAAAAGTAATTTATAAAATAAATAGAAAAGCTGACTCGACGTTTATGGGTAAGAGATCTCAAAAATGTCGTATTTCAGAAAGAATTGGATGTTTTGAGAAAAGAGGCTGGAAGGACAAACGTACCCTACGCCAATGTTAAGCTTTAAGCTAAATGACGAGTTCTTCAAAAAAAGATATCAAGAAACAGTGCACAAATTCAAAGATGGTAAACAAACTATTCTAAATTCTCTAGTAATTTATACGCTTGCTTTGGTTAAAGGATTAGTACCTAATGCATCAACTTGACTGAGCTAGGATGAGCTAATTACCAAAAGGTGATTAAAACATAATTCAGCATCTTTTCATTAATCTTTTCTACAAAACAAGTAAAAATTCTTTTTCTGGTAGCTAGCTGGGATAATATAAAGAGAATTCAGTATGGAAAGAAAGAACTCTTCAAACTCCATAAAATTTTTTTAAACCAACGGGAACTATACATAAAGCGACATTACGAGTTTAACGGAAATTTTTATTTTCAAGCAACAAATTTATTTCGTGGCCAAAAGATGATCGCTGTCTATAAAAGGACAGTCCCGCCCTGTATTTGGGGGAGTCAACCGCAGATTTGAACCTAACCTTAACCACACACAACAACGAACATAAAAAATATTATGAGCGACAATGTACAGCAACAAGTAGATTCAGTTGGTTCCGTAACTGAAAATTTGCAAAGAGTAAATCTCAACAACAGACCTAGGAAATATATTCCTCCTTTTGCCCGTGATCATCCTGATGCTGCCCCAGTCACTCCTGTGAGCTCTGAGCCTGCATCTTCTCGATCTGAAACTCCTAGCGAGGTCTCCTCTTCTGGCTACGGCGGACGCCGTGAGTTTTTTCCTCGTGGTGGCGAAGGTCGTCAAGGCGGTTTTGCAAGTGGCGACGGTCGCCAAGGAGGACCCCGCGGCTCTCGTGAAGGTTATGGCGGTGGATACCGCAATAACCGTGGAGCTGGCCAATGGAAAGACGGTCAACATATCATCGGTGCCAGAAATACCTTATTGGAACGCCAATTATTTGGTGCTGTCGCCGATGGCATTAAAGCTTCAACAGGAATCAACTTTGAAAAGTATGATGACATCCCCGTTGAGGTGTCTGGAGGTGAAGTTGAACCTGTTCATGAATTCCTTTCTCCTCCTTTGAACAATCAGTTGCTTCAAAATATTTTTCTATCTGGATATACACAACCTACCCCTGTTCAGAAGAATTCTATTCCCATCGTCACCTCCGGTCGCGATTTGATGGCATGTGCTCAAACTGGTTCCGGTAAGACGGCTGGTTTCTTGTTCCCCATTCTTTCTCAAGCGTTTGACAAAGGACCAGCTCCTATTCCCATGGAGCGAAACCCCGGTATGGGCTATCGTCCTCGTAAGGCTTATCCTACCACATTAATTCTTGCTCCTACCCGTGAATTAGTCTGCCAAATTCACGAGGAATCAAGAAAGTTTTGCTACCGCTCTTGGGTTCGCCCCTGTGCCGTTTATGGTGGTGCTGATATCCGCGGTCAAATCCGTCAAATGGACCAGGGCTGTGACTTGCTCTCTGCCACTCCTGGCCGTTTGGTCGATTTAATTGACCGCGGTCGCATCTCTTTAGCTAATATTAAATTCTTGGTATTGGATGAAGCTGACCGCATGTTGGATATGGGTTTTGAACCTCAAATCCGACAAATTGTCGAAGGTGCTGATATGACTGATGTTGAGAACCGTCAGACTCTCATGTTTTCAGCCACTTTCCCCCGCGATATCCAATTGTTGGCTCGTGACTTTTTGAAAGACTACATCTTTTTGAGTGTTGGTCGTGTTGGATCCACTTCTGAAAATATTACTCAGAAGGTTGTCCATGTCGAAGATTCAGAAAAGCGCAGTTACTTGCTTGATATCCTTCATACCCTTCCCCTGGAAGGCTTGACTTTGATTTTCGTGGAGACTAAGCGCATGGCTGATACTCTTACTGACTATCTGTTGAACAGTAACTTCCCTGCTACAAGTATTCATGGTGACCGTACTCAACGTGAACGTGAGCGTGCTTTAGATTTGTTCCGTTCAGGTCGTACTTCCATCATGGTTGCTACTGCTGTTGCTAGTCGTGGTTTGGATATCCCCAACGTAACACACGTCATTAACTATGACTTACCTACTGATATTGATGACTATGTCCATCGTATTGGTCGTACTGGTCGTGCTGGAAATATTGGTCATGCCGTTTCCTTCTTCAACCGTAATAATAAGGGCCTTGCTAAGGACCTCATTGATCTTTTACAAGAGTCCAACCAAGAATGTCCTAGTTTCCTTTTGGCTATGGCCCGTGATAACAGCTTTGGAGGTGGTGGTGGACGCGGTCGCTTTACTCCTCGTGGACGTGGCGGCGGTGGAAACCACGGAACTCGTGATTTCCGTCGTACCACTAACACCACCAGCAGCTACAGTCCTTACAGTAGTGGCTATGATCGTGCTCCCAGTCATCATGGAAACACCTATAACAGTGGTAGCTCTCAATCATGGTGGTAAGCTATTACAAGACTGATCCTTTTGATCTAATGCAGCTGAAATTTCTTTCACTTATGTCAAGAAACTTTGGTCTGTCAGAAGTATTGTTTAAAAGGAAATAAAGATGCTTTGGATAGAATATATCTATTTAATGGATAGAGAAAAAAAAGAGAAAGCAATGAGGGAGTGAATATAATAATATTTCACTGTGATTGAGCGTTTTGCACGAAGGAAATTTGATTGATTCGTTAGTAACAGATGAAATGATAATAAAAATCGAATTGACATATCCGCTTGAGCGTGCGTTTGTTGGTTGCAGATGTGGAAGCGTTATGTGAACGATCCGACAAGTTTTTGTATGCATGTTGTTTCTATGGCTCACCATGACTGTGTCAACGATTGAAAAGTGTCGAGATATCCAGAGTATTGACATGGAGAAATTAATACAAAAAATTCAAGATTACAGAAGAAAGCATGATTAGAGTGAATGTACGAATACGACGGGCATACAACATATAAGTGAATATGTTGATATTTTTTCGAGGCTGTTTGGGTGTGCTGCTCTAGAGCCTTGGGAAATATTTCTTTCTAGAGAGGTTGGGTCTAAATTCAGCATCTCTCTTTTGTTGGATTGTGGTTCTTGGGTATATAGTTCTTAAGGGAAAAGGTTTACGATTCTGCAATTTGTAGTAATAGAAATGCGCGCTGAAGCTAATACATTATTATTGACTATTAAAGTGAAGGAGATGAATATTGATTTAGATTATTGTAGGAGTATTGTGAATGTTAGAAGTAGGATGGCATACCAAGGCTTAATCTAGAGAAGAACAAACGATCGGACAAATTGAAAACAGTAACTCAACAGTAAGTAGGAATCTTTATTTACAAGGCGGAACAAGCCGCACGGAAGGCGATACAGTAAAAAGCAAAAAGGACGTTTTTGAATATTGAAAGAAATGGCTGGGAGAATAAGGAAAAGAAAACAATTCGGACATTTTTACCTCGACATATTAAGGGGAGTTGATTTCGTCAGATTAAGAAAAGGGATGACCTTCATGGGAGCGAAACGACATAAAACCGATTAAGAGGAAAAAGAAGAAAATGAAGCACATAAGGGTTAGCAGGAAAATGTTTTTAGAAGATCGGGAGACACGGTTGAGATGGCGGACGAGTAGCATGTGTTGAATGGGATCAACGCGTTTCCTAGGGTCGCGGTTTTCAAATTTTGGATCATCACTATCACTGTCTTCAAAATCACGATACTCATCATCTTCAGCAGGCGTTTCAAATCGAACATTTTTACGAAGACGACGACGAGGGTCGCCGGGATATGCTGCCAAGTCATAGCTTGGGTTTTTTGAATACATGGTAAAGTTAGTTGAATAGAAACTTCCCAATAAGGAAAACAGTAATCGTTTCCTAAGCAAAAGGGCTTGTTGAAGAATGGCAAACGAAAGTGCATTTAGCGACAAAGACAAGAGGATAGCAAATGACTGTTAAAGACGTTAAAACAAATAGTGTGGCTTTAGGTGAATAAAGGTAAGATTTGACCGGATACTTTGCGTTGCGGTATTTCCTTGTTTATTATTATTATTATTTTTTGACAACATGATTTGTGAATTTTAGCAAGAACAAGGAGCTTAGCAGAACAGTAAAACAACGGAAAAGCCATATGAAAAGAGATGAACCAAATTGACAAAACAATGATATGATCCCTAAAGAATTACTCATACTCAAGTCATGAATATGTTACAGGCTGTTACTTAAAAAGTAGCGCCATTTGTTTACTTTTGAACTGAAATAAATAAGTAATGCCTACGGTCGTTGTAGCAGCTAAAAAATAATTGGAATTAGTATAAATGGTTTACTTTACCTAGAAAACAAATATAGACAATAGGATTGTTATACAAAAAAGAAGAGCAACGATAAAGTACATTTTCTAGATGTAAACACTTACACCAAATTTTACCTTTAGTCTACTTTAAATTTATCTTTGTAGTTATTCCATTGCGGCTGTGCTTAGTAACGTTGTCTCTTCATAATTTGAGATGATTTTGCATTTCCTTCATTGTTCATGCACATAAACACCACCACTGTAATGTTCATCTACATCTCTAAATAGTCTACCTTACTTCCTGACTATTTGCTTCGTCAACGGGTGATTTCTTCGGTGGTGGCTTTCACAAACCTACGTTTTATGAAAGATCGTTCTAGTCAATTACCATTGGAAATTGCCCATGCTGGAATTTAAAAGTTCCCTAATAATACTAAAGATGTTTTCATCTTACTTTCGTCGCACAAAATCTTTTACTGTAAGCCCCGCCAAAGAGCGAATGAAACGTTCATTCTCTTGATAAAAGAACCTGTGTCTTCGAGGAAACACAAATTATACGCTTCCCTCCTTTAACTTATTGTAATTCTCCTATACTATGATTTTGGTTACTACTAATTAAGACAATATCCCTACCCCAAGGATGTGGCAACGATGGCCACGCAACTGAGGAAAACACTTCGTCAATCAAGATTTTAGGCCACAGAGATGTCGTAGACATGTCCACATATGAGAAGGAACACACGTAGAAGCTTATGAAACTTATGTCGATATATATTTATATATATATATATATATGCACGTATACACAAGGAAGGCATGTTTTTGGACATATAGGATAAATTGAACACTCACACTACGATACACCTATTACATTATTATTCTTTTCTTTATTATCGATTCATCAACGTTAGATAAAGTTATTGAATTTAGTTGGAAACATTTAAAGGTATGAAAGTCAGAACAGAATGATCATCATCTGAAAAAAACTTCAATATTAACATTATAAATGCAGATAAAAATTAAACCAGTGTAATTGTTACACCCCCTTATTTATGATTTTGCATTATGAATACTCGCCCTGCCAATGATACAAAGGAGCAAAGCATCACATTTGATGATGATAATCAGTTAGATACTTCAGATCTGTCCAGTTCTCCAACACGCCGTTGGAGAAACTGCACGTTACAAAGACGTGGATCTCGTGCGTCTACGTTGTCAGAAGATTTTGGAGAACGGTATCGCTCTCGTTCTCGAGGATCATTAGTCGGACAGCTTAATCCTGATATGAGCGAAAATCAGTGGCATAATAAAGTAGAACAAACGACAAACAGAAGCAATAGCAGCTACGACTTAAACGACAGAAGCCGGGAAGATGAGTCTGACAACATGACTTCACTTCATGATCAAACGATTCCGAATCCAATTGCTGAAGCTTGGAGGAAATACTTCCGTAAAGAAATTCGCTAATGCTGGGTAAAAAGAAAAAAAAATACATGGAACGAAACAAGGGAAACTCTGCTGATATTTGCATTACTCTTCAGTTGATGATATTTATGAGATATTATTTTACAAGGTAAACCTCTCCTTGGAAGTAAATTCCATAATTGATGTAGCATTTCATCTCGCATGGAATAAGCAAATTGTACTTAGTAACCAAACATCAGTCTCCGAACGAATAGTTTAATTGGAAAGAGTCAACACCTTCCGTCTTTTTATTTCAATCAACTTGAATAGAGAGATGGCTAATGTATCGCATCGTATAGCTGAATATTTTGGACAAACATATCTTTTCAAGACAGACAATAGTTTGTTCGTTTGAAATATGACATTCATACAAATCACAATAGTTTAAGAATAGAAACCAGGTTGATTTTGTGTTTCATAAGCTCCATTATACCAATTACACCAATACTGCACAGAAACAAGATACGGTGGGACAAGAAACCTCTGTTTGTATTCAAATCATATATACGAAAACATATTATCGTAACCAATCATTATACACATTTATAAGTCATGACGATGAGGGCAAAAAGATTCTCTTTAACGCAAGGATGAATACAATTTGCTGCTCGTATTGAATCCATTCGTTTCATAAAAAAAAGAAATTAGTTGTTAGGGGCAGGACGACTGGCCTGCTCCTTGACTTCTTTTTGGTCTTTCGACAAGTCATTCTTAGCATCACGTTCAGCTTGATCTTCCATAAGGGGTTCCTTGTTTAAATCGCCCCATCCATGCTGTTCTCTACGTTCCGACTCACGAATTGCAGGATGGGTATGAACGGTATCTTTGCTGAGATCTTTGTAAGGTGCAGGACTCATGATGATAGGATTCGAACCAAGTTTAAGGAATCAGATAAAAAGGAAAAATCAAATGAATGAAAGTTGGTAAACAAGCGTAAATATTACAGCGCAGCTTTTGTTTACGTGTCGTGAATGCTGTTGAACAATGCGATTTTGACACGTTATTTAAGTCTCGCTACTCCAGTTGACGTCATGGGATATGATATAAGAAATTTCATGATGCAAGGGTTGAAATTGTTCGATCAGAAAACAAATGAAAAAAAAAAGGCCGTTTTCCTTAGCATACGGAAGCTTTAAAAATAGGATATCCTTGTAGATTCTTGAAAGAACTGTTTATGACCATTCCAAGTGCTTCTTTGCCGATTTCGTTTTAGGACCCCTTTCGGTGACGCAGTTTGCGAAAAAGAAAAAAGTAAATAAATGGATTTGTACATTACTTTATAACGACCTAGTTCTTATAATTTGAATCCCGTAAAAGGACAACTCCATTCAGTAGTTGAACTTGAGCTTTTTATTCGACTCTTGTTTCAAACACAGCGCAAATCAAACGAACGTGTGGACCTTTACAAAAAAAAAAGCAATAAACCAAAAAAAACAATAAAAAGCTTATATGATTCGCTTGTCCATTCTCAAAAAATGACTGGAACTTCGATGAAAACAAACATTTTAAAGAGGTTCTTATGATTTACAGGATACCATTATCGGAGGAAGCTTAGTATCATCAACTATTATATAATACCCATAATACTACGGAGTATTAGATTGTAGACGAAAGTAAACAAAACAAAAACATTGTTAAACAGACAGAAGAAAAAGAAAATCCATGTGACAAGAAAAACAATTGAACATTGTGAAAAGTTGAGATGTGGAAAATAAGAATAAATATATACTAGCCTAACTGTTCTGGCTATATCTTCAGTGGCCGAACGAGTAAAATGTTTGTACATCTTTCCAATCTACCCAGAGGACAATACTAATAACTATTAGTAATTAAGATTCAATTCAACATCAACTTTTCAGTACATACTTTACTTAGATAATTTACTCAGTTGTATTCATATTCCAATATATGATTCCCATATTAACATATAAAGGAGTTCGTGCGTATTACAAAGAACCGATCGTTTCGTTCATTGAACAATTGAAAAGAACGAACCTAGCTTTCAAAGACGAAGCTCCTCGTCCTCATTCTATTCCCTGGACACTGTAAGTGTTGCTCAGGCGAAATATTCGACTATATTGGGTTTGAAAAAAACCAAAAAGAAAAAGAAAATGAAATAATTAATAAAGAAAATAAAAAAAAAATACAAACCATAAAGGTTTGATTGCCTCTTTTGCCTCCCAGGACCCTGAAATCGGACTTGATATTGAGATGTCGATTATCAAGCGTTATCAGATTCTATTCACCTTCACATATCTTAACCATAGCTTTTACTTTTTTCCTTTTTCTTCTTACTTTTGAGTTGAAATTGCGTTTCTATTCTTTCATTCTTTCACCTTTGGAGTATCAATAGTTATACTTGCTACTGTAAGTTTGAAATATTGAACGATCGGTTCTTGAGTGCAATACCAATCCGAGAGATTCCGACTATATATATTTTTCCTAATAAAAATTTCATTTTCCCTTTCTTTTGTCGACGAGTTTTTTTTAAAAATGGTCGTTCCTATTGTTCGTAAAGGAAATGGAAATGAGAATGCTTCCATGAGTCTCCACCATGATGGACATCATCACGACCATCATGGCCATGGACACGATCATCACCATCATGACCATGACCACCACGGTCACAACCACGACCACGAGCATCCTCATCCTGTTCCTCCTCCTCACGCCTTGTCCAACTTGTCTGAACGCGAACGCATGATTCTTGAACATGGCCATGCTCACGATGCGATGGATTCCCCAGGAAGCTATTTGAAACGCGAGCTTCCTACATACAATAACCGAGACTTTTCAAGACGTAGCTTTACCATCGGTGTTGGTGGTCCTGTAGGTTCCGGTAAAACAGCACTTCTTTTGCAACTTTGCCGACATTTAGCCTCAAAATACAGTATCGGAGTCGTTACCAACGACATTTTCACCCGTGAAGACCAAGAATTTTTGATCAGCAACAAAGCTTTGCCTCAAGAACGGATCCGTGCCATTGAAACTGGTGGCTGCCCCCATGCAGCGATTCGTGAAGATGTTTCTGCAAACTTGGTCGCCCTGGAAGAACTTCATGCCGAATTCAAGACTGACCTCTTGCTCGTTGAATCAGGAGGCGATAATCTTGCTGCTAACTATTCTCGAGAACTGGCAGACTTTATTATCTATGTCATTGATGTCTCTGGCGGTGACAAAATTCCTCGTAAAGGTGGTCCTGGTATTACAGAATCTGACTTGTTGATCATCAACAAGACAGACTTGGCTCCCTTGGTGGGTGCAGACCTTCAAGTGATGGATCGAGATGCCAAGAAGGTTCGCGAAGATGGCCCTACAGTGTTTGCCCAGGTCAAGAGCGATAAGGGAATGGACGAAATCGTCGAGCTTATTTTGGGCGCCGCTAAGGGCTCTGGATCTTTGTAACGCATTTCTTTTATTTTTACAGTAGCTAATTTAGTATTTTCCTAATGAAATATCCTAAACGTTTACAATTCTTTTTTTTGTTCATTCATCCTACGTACTTTCCTTTTGTAAATTTCTTTTCCTTCTTAATATTTAAGTACTCTCGCTTAGATAACTTTGTTGAACCTGAAACTCCCTCTTCGTGCCACAGTAGACTTCAAAATTTTCAAAAATCAATCTGCCCTTGTTATTTTCCATTTTTTGTAGTAGTAACCTACATAATCAATAATCAATATGGCTGTAGAACAGAAAACTCCTGGACAGATTCAACGTGAAGAGGAAGAAGCCAGAAAAAAAATGAAACGTCTGGCGAAAGGAGGTGGTGTAGAAGGACGTTTACCAATGGTATATTGATTCTAATTCCTCAGCTTGAAGTCTAATTACTTGTTTAGAAAAGATTATTTCGCCAAAGAGCTCATGCTAATGTTTTGTCTGATCATGAACTGGAATAGTAAGTGTGTTTTATCAAGTCAACACTCAATCAAGCTTAATCATAATTCTTGGATTCTTTCCTTTCTAAGTTTCATATTTCTAACAAAAAAAAAGTCCTAGAAGCCCGGCTGAAATGGATTGGACACCATATTACCCTGATATCCCAGAAGACTCTGGAAAAAAGGTAGAGATCGTGGACATTGGCTGTGGTTACGGTGGTCTTACTGTAGCTCTTGGTCCTCAATTTCCCGATTCCTTGGTTCTGGGAATGGAAATTCGAACGCAGGTCACCGATTATTTGAAGGAAAAGATTCAGGCCATTCGTTACCGAGCAGAACATGAAGAACCGGTTGTTGGAGGTTTTAAAAATATTTCTGTTTTGAGAATGAACTGTCAAAAGTTCTTACCAAATTTTTTCGAGAAAGGACAGCTCACAAAAATGTTTTTCTGCTTTCCAGATCCTCACTTCAAAGCTCGTAAGCATAAGAACCGTATAGTTACCAGTACCTTGGCTTCTGAATATGCTTATTTCATTCAACCTCTTGGCAGACTGTACACTATCACGGATGTAGAAGAACTTCATCTCTGGATGGCAGAACACCTTGATAAGCACCCTCTCTTCCGTCGACTCTCCAAAGAAGAAGAGGATGCGGACGTCTGTGTTGCACTTATGACAAATGAGACTGAAGAAGGAAAAAAGGTTGCTAGAAACGGTGGAAAGAAATTCACTGCTTGCTACGAGCGAATGCCAGACCCTGCCAAATAAAAAAAGTTAAGGCAGGTTTTTGATTTGATGCGCAGTATGCATTTGTGCACAGCTAATTATGTATTTACGTGGGTTTACGGATTGATAAAAGGTATAATATAATACATTTTGCTTCACCATAAATTTTAGTTGTCCTTATTCTGATTGGAAACGTCAATGTAGCTGGCTCCTGAAACATGGTAATCAACAATTTTAAAAGAATTTATTCATTTCGATATCTGTAATGTAACTTACACAGCAGACATAAACATTCACTTACTACTGATTTTGCACCAAACACTCTGGATGTTCTTGGATATTCTAATGAAAATCGCAATCAAAGAAGCTCTTGTAGCTCAGTGGTAGAGCGCTTGCCTAGTAAGCAAGAGGCCCAGTGTTCGAGTCACTGCTGGAGCAAACTTTTTTTAAACTTGTTTGATAAATTACCAGCCACATATTCACCATTTATTCCTTCGTTTCCGATTTGTTTACCGAAGTGCGTTCCGTTGGCTTGTTTGATATAGTATAATTTTTTATTTTAATGTATCCGTAGGGTAGGGTTTGTGACGGTATTTTGAATTCCAAAATCTATATAATGCCTAAAGTACACTACTCAAATCTATACTTAACGCACAAGGTAAGTGATCTAAAACGGATGCAAAATCTTTACAATGATGAACAACATTGTGTCGCCCCTATCTGAAATTTGTGACGATTGACACGGAAGCCAAACCCAATAACTGATACTTTTGATTTTGCATCTTTGCTCTTTATCATCTTCATTATATTAACATTTGCTAGATAATGCGGAACTATGAATAGGAAATAAAATCATTACTGTTTTTACGCTATACAAATTGGATTGCTATAGGGATTCATATGGACGTAGTAGTCAATTGTGTTCATTTAGAGCATATGTAAAAGAGATGAAGAGCAAACCATTATAAGACTGTTTGATGCTTGCTGATGATGTTTTCCAAAATATTCTATGCTAATCATGATTGAATCTGATTCAATATTGACTCACTGAAGCAAGCTAGAACTCGTTACAAAATTTACATTGAAGCTAGGACAAGCTTAAGGATTAGAAGTCTGTGTTAAGAAAAAATGATCTTGTTAGTAAAAGTCTTATAGTGAATACATGACGTTGGAGGAAAAGCGATTTTTAGATCTTTCACTTTGCATTGTTTTTACCTTGCAAAACAGAAAAGTAACGTTACAGGTAGCATAGATCAGATTTGTTGATTTACTGATAACAACGCATAGTGTGAACTCGCTATCAGCAAATGGGAGATAAAAGAAAAATTACCATGGTCATCCAACTTGGGCGTAACCAATACTCTGTTAAAAGCCAGGTTTGTTCAAACCAGCGCCAAAATGTATGCTTTACTTAGTGTTTACGATAAAACGGGTCTGTTGGACCTTGCCAAGGCACTTGTGAGTAAGGGAATTAAGTTGCTCGGTAGTGGTGGTACTGCTAGAATGATTCGTGAGGCCGGTATGGAAGTCCAAGACGTCTCCTCCATCACGAATGCTCCCGAAATTCTAGGTGGTCGTGTGAAGACTCTTCATCCTGCTGTTCATGGTGGAATCCTTGGTCGTGACATACCTTCTGATGAAAAGGACCTTCTTGAACAACATATTGAGAAGATTGACGTCGTTGTTTGTAACTTGTATCCCTTCCGGGAAACTATCGCTAAGCCTAATGTCACCATTCCTGAAGCAGTTGAGGAGATTGACATTGGTGGTGTCACCTTGTTACGTGCTGCTGCTAAGAACCATGCTCGTGTCAGCATTTTAACTGATCCCAAAGACTATCCTATATTTGCTGAGAAGTTGCTTACAAATACATTGACGCAAGAGGATAGAAATCAATACGCTTTGAAGGCCTTTGCTTCTACCGCTTCCTATGATTCGGCCATCACTGACTACTTCCGCAAGCAATACTCTGTTGGTGTCAGCCAAATGACTCTACGCTACGGTGCTAACCCTCACCAATCTCCTGCTCAGGCTTTCATGGAAAGTGGTCCCCTTCCCTTTAAGGTTCTTGGTGGCTCTCCCGGTTATATTAATTTGCTTGATGGTTTAAACTCATGGCCGCTCGTTAAGGAGCTTCATGAGAACCTTGATCTTCCTGCTGCTGCTTCCTTCAAGCATGTATCTCCTGCCGGCGCTGCTGTTGGTATTCCTTTATCGGATGTCGAAAAGAGTGTCTATTTTGTCAGTGATATTGGTGAGTTGACTCCGTTGGCCTGTGCTTATGCTAGAGCCCGTGGTGCTGATCGTATGTCTTCCTTCGGTGATTTCATTGCTCTCTCCGACAAGGTTGACGTGTGCACTGCTCGTATTATTTCCCGTGAGGTTTCTGACGGTGTCATTGCTCCAGATTTTGAGCCTGAAGCTTTGGAAATATTGAGGAAAAAGAAGGGTGGTAAATATTGTATTTTACAAATGGATCCCAGTTATGTTCCTGCTGAGATTGAGACTCGTCAAGTCTATGGTATCAGTTTACAACAGCACCGTAATCATGCAAAGATTGATTATTCACTTTTCGACAAAGTCGTTAGTAAGAACAAGGATTTGCCCAAGTCTGCTCTTATTGATTTGGTTGTTGCTACTACCGCTTTGAAGTTTACTCAAAGCAACTCTGTCTGCTATGCTAAAAATGGTATGGTCGTTGGTTTGGGTGCTGGTCAACAATCTAGAATTCATTGCAACCGCTTGGCTGGTGACAAGGCGGATAACTGGTGGTTCCGTCATCATCCTAAGGTTTTAGGCATGCAATTCAAGAAGACTGCCAAGCGTCCTGAGAAGTCTAATGCCATCGATTTGTATGTCTTGGGTGCCGTTCCTTCTGAAGGCAGTGAGCGTGAACAATGGGAGTCTGTTTTTGAATCCATCCCTGAGCCTCTCACACCCCAAGAACGCCAAGAATTCCTGGCTTCTCTCAATGACGTCGTTTGCGCTAGCGACGCGTTCTTCCCTTTTCCCGATAATATTTACAGACTCTCCCAAAGCGGTGTCAAGTACATTGCTGCCCCTGGTGGAAGTGTTATGGACAAGGCAGTTCATGATGCTGCTGATGAATTTGGCATGGTCTACACTGAAATTCCCTTGCGTCTTTTCCATCATTAGATTTAGATCTTATTTTTAACTTTTAATATGTTTTGTAGTACGGCATTTCTTAAAGAAATTTTTGGTCACTAAAATTAATTGTGAATGTAACGATTCGATAGAAAGAAATAGTAATGAAACGGGTTCTTATGGATTTTCTTGTTTTAAGAAGACATATTTATGAAATATGTAATTCAAAAAAACGGTCAGAGAGGGACTCGAACCCTCGACCTCATGATTAACAGTCATGCGCACTAGCCAACTGTGCTATCCGACCTTTGAATTGATAGACTATCGATTATAATGTATTTATGAGATATGTTGTTTAGGAGTGATCGACTTTATTGGATTTCTATTCAGAGATATATATGTATGGTAATCAGGTCATAATAAATTCCAATCCTAACGGGTATAGGACAGTCATTGGTGGAAGAATATTAGTGATAATCCAAAAAATAACACTACAAAATGGCCGGCTACTAATTGCTATAAGATTGTCCGCGTCCAATTTACGTATACAACAGTACACCTTGAGTTGTTTATTCCGCTCGATTTATATAATTACGCGATGTGAGATATCTGCCCTAACATAGACAGCTATTTTTAACCGAGGCTACACCGCTCGCTTCCCCTCACGCATGATATTTTGAGAAACAGTTGTTACTTAATCTATCAAATTATAAATACAGCGTTTTTCCCTATGAATTTTTTGTTTTTGCTTTTTTTGAAGAGATCGGCGTTAAAAACTGAAATAACTTGAGAAATTTCACAGTTTGTGCTCTTCGCTTCTTGTTTCAAAAGCTTCATGCCTTATGCTTCTTGGCTGTCTATTTCATATTTTAATTTAAATTTTACAAGATGAATTGGTCTTGGATGGATAGATTCTTATCAAACTGTGCTAAGCTGTATGTGGTTTATAGAATTATAACATATTTAGCCGCTTCATCAGAAAGTAATGTTTCAGGTCTACGTTCATTTAAGCACATCAATTCAGGTGTTTTTCTATTAGACTTTAAAAATGAACCTTATGGGAAAACTGGGTTTCTTTCGTGTGCTTACTTACATTCTTCCGGTGATTGGAACAACATGGCCACTGCTAATATAAGCTTAAAGGAAAATACTCGAGGGTCTGTTTACTGGCGAAGCAAGCAAATCTCAGATCCTTTTAAATCTTATAAACGTGCCATTGATTCTGATGGAGATTTGGTAAGGTTGCAACAACTTATTCCAAAGGTTGATCAGGAATATTTTATGAAAATCGATCGGGATGAACCGTCTATAAAACTTCATATACCTTATGATACTTTGTTTTGCTTTCTAGGATACCAAGACATAGATTATTCAGAAGATATGGATTTAATCAAGAGGCCCATTATGGATACTGAATTTGTTAGCTCTGCTCCTACCAAGTTATCATTTATGGAAATCTTTTCAAAGCTGATGACCCTTTTCGGATTATTGGGTTCCATAACATCTATTATACTGTGTGCACTGCGCAAATGCTGTCTTACTCATTGCTTTTTAATAATATTCACTTGCTTGGATGACTGGAATAATGCATTTTGGCTGTTATTTGATGTGACAAAGATATTTGAAAATCCAACTAGCCTTACCTCTTTAATGAAAGTTTTTCTTTTCTTTTGTGGTCATGCTATTCGATCTTCATTTTATTCTTCTATTACCCTTATTGTCACGCTTTACTTAGGGATTGCTCGTCCCATCTCCAATAAACAAATACGTATGGTGCTCCTTATTGGTATAATCCAAACATTAGTTGTTATTGTTGTCCATTTGGTTTTTCCTATCCTTCATTTTATTGAATATCCAAAAGTAAACATTATAAGGATTATATGGAACGTATACAAACATTTTTACAACAATTCTTTATTCCTAATTGGAATTATATTTTACTATCGAAACCAATTTCATATGGCTCATTCATCGAATGCAGTACACAAAAACTTTATTCAAGTTGCGATTATCGATAATATATTAAAATACGGTCCTCCGATTATCAAGGAGTATAGTTATGATCTTCTTTTTGTATTAAAATGCTGTCTGGAAGCAAAGCGTTGTAATCTTTTAGATCAAATCGTTACAGAAATCTTTGACACACGTGACCAGGAATTCCATGATGAAAGCTCAATTGAGCTGAAGGATCTTACACCTGAATGCATGGACCAGGCGCCTGATAAATTTGAAGAAAGAGCAAGGACCAAAAAAATTAATTGATTCAAGAAAAATAGGTGAATTCTCACTATATTATGAAAAGCTTTTTCTAACCATAATCGAAAGTATGCCTTGTGTCTACTGTTATGAAATGTTTAATTTGGAACATGGATCTTAAATAACGTTCTCAAGGTTGAGGTTTTGTACCTTTTATTTTATTATTTTATTTTTTGGCCTTTCAAGCTATGGAGAACGGTCAGTGAACACGAACTTTGGGCATTGGGTGCATATATTAATAATTTAGAGGTTTACTTATAAAGTGGTACCTTTTTACGTGGGATCGAATGGGATAGGACTTCGACGAGTCAAAGGTGTATATTACTCCATCACAAACGCCTCTTAGGCATCTTTTTTGGTTTAAGCTTGCAAACCAATTTATTTTAATCTTGCGCATCAATGGATTTTTCTCACAAATCGAGACTTTTATTTGGGAACTTTAACCTATATGTTTACTTTCCATGGTGGATTTCAGGTTACACCGTCATTTGTAAGAAGTTACATTATGTTTCTTTACGGGTAACTCGGTAAGGAATTCTTTATACTATCGTTTCTATCGAGGAAGAAGGATGGTTCTTCTAGTAAAAGAATTTTTTTAAAGGTTAGCTCCCGGATTCGTCAATCATGGACCCTTGACTACGTGCGTAATATAATGAGAATATTGGTCGGTTCCATGAGTATCATTTCCATACTCCCTTACTTATAGGTATATGATGCGTCGTAAATAAACAATGGTAATAAGTAGAAATAGGAGAAAAATCGAGTCTGTAAACGGATATTTAAATCGCGTTACACTTAGGGAATCATCGAAAATAGGCGGATATAATTTTCTAGCGAGCTATATATTCCTGAATGTATGGTGAAATCATCCCTCTCCATTCTAACTAATGAAACAAGAATCGCATAGTATAAAAGTATTAATCAGAATGGGAGTTGAACCAAATTTGAAACCAACGGAGAAATAAACATAGTGAAAGAGAAATGAAATAAAAATTGGAGGAGCCTACAGCATCCCGGATTCCCATGTTGTCTCAGAGCATATTACTTACAAGACCCTCAGACTCTTAATTGCAGTGATCGGATGGGAACTGGTGGTTTCGCCTAGGTATGGCCGTGGACAGTTCCTTCAGTTCAAAGAAGTAATTTATAGGTTTTTTTGATCCTGAAGAGCCCATGAGGGCTGCTTTTTGGTTGTAGGCTGTTACTCACTTTCAAGGTAAAAAATTGTTCATAAGTTCATAGAGAAATGGGATCTGCTTTGTTTACAGAGGTGTAAACAAACGCGAGATTAGCGAAACTTGTTACTTGTTCATTGTGACTTAAACGTATATTCAACGATTTATGCTATATGTCATTATAGGAGATAGCGCAACTGAACATATCACTATCCTGAGCTAAAATGTTGCGTAAGAGATGCGAGATTTCCTGCTGGAGCCAACTGTTTATTTCTTCAATTCCTGCCAACTGGGCTGATTTTGATTAAAGTCTGAGCTATTTTAGATGAAATATTGAAATTGAGTCTACTTTGAGCTAAACCCCTTTCAATTTCGCCTTTCTTAGTGGCTTCTGAACATTTGCGAAATTTTTATATCGAATACGGATCGATAGCTTTTATTTGACTCTCTTTTG